TTTTCAGTGTTTTTGGGTTACTTTTTGGTTTTCAGTGTTTTTGGGTTACTTTTTGGTTTTTAGGGTTTTTGGGGGTGTTGAGGGTTTTTAGGGGTTTAGAGTCTTAGGGTTCTTAGGGTTTTAGGTTTTCTTGTTTTATTGTAGGGTTTTTAGGGTTTGGGGTTTTAAGGTTTAGGGATTTTAGGTTTCTTTTGCTGCAAACTGTAAACCCTAGGAACCCCAAGCCCTTGAGCACGTTGTGAGTCCTGGCTTTCACTTAGTTGTTCGGAGCATCATTGACTTGGTGCGCAGGACGACTTGGCGCTTTGGTGCTAGGGTTTATAGGGTTTAGGGTTTAGGGTTCAGGGTGTCTTTAAGGTCGTATGCAAAGGAGTAATTAAGAACTTCTTTCGCGCACTCACTTGTGGCTGCATGGGCTCACTTTTGATGTGCACTGCTTGGGCTCTTCCCCCTTAAATATACACTTAATAGGGATTATGACAGGGGGTACTATAATCTCTATTACGCACTGTTAGAAACAGGGAAAAATCATCCCAATGCACTGCTTAGCTCAGAGCGAACGGGCTGGCGACATTCGAGCTAACGTCTGGCTCGAGGACTGCACACGGGGTCCAAACCCTAAACCCTAAAACCGTCATGTCTTACCCTAGGAGTCTATGTACCTATATAGGGAATACTTGGGCCTTACCGTTCTTCCTCTATAAGGCCTTTAAGGGCCCAAATACATTAAATAAGTAAATAAAAATATATAAATAAATACATCTATATATACACATATATACATAATCATAAGGTACATGGACCCTTAGGGTTGTAGACATGCCGGCATAGCCTTAAGCTACCAGGCGCGGCCAGTGAAGAGGAGAGAGAGCGTTGCAGTTTGCATTGCGTCGATAACGACCAGGCCATGCCCCGGACGACAAACTTCACACACAGGGTTTAGGGTTTAGGGTTTAGGGTTTAGGGTTTAGGGTTTAGGGTTGGGGGGAGGGGGGGGCTTCGGGCTTATAGGGGACTTCGCGCCAAAACAGAAGTGTACTCAAACCAGCACATTCTCGTTCGTTCTCAACCCCGAAAACTCAGGCCACCTTAAACTCAAGCGAGTTGATCATGAAATGAGTTCAGAAGATGGGGAGGAGATTCCGGGTTTAGGGTTTAGGGTTTAGGGTTTACCTGAAGATCCTAGCGGCTGGAAATTAGTGTCCTTATGGCAAAATCTGGATTTTTCCGTAGAAAGGCCGTATTTCGGTTTTTTAATGGTTTTTTGGGGTGTAGGCAAAGCGGCCTTTTTTTGGGTTTAGCCTAATAATAGTCAAGCAAGTATCCTATTGCCTGTGTAAGGGAACTCGTTGCCGCGCGCGCTCCATATGTGAGTTCGAGGCTTGCGAGGCTACTTCTCTCTGAAGCCCAAAAGATTGAAAAGGATTGCTTTGCGAGCACTTACGCGACTCTTTGTGATCCAAGGACCTACAGGAAATGGGTCTCCGCAAAAGACTACAAATCCGTACCCTTATCCCAATAAAATGTCGACATTTTTTCGGGATTTTGGTGAGCCGCAGGAAACCGTAGGAAAACCGTAACCCGTAGGAAAACCATATTTTATCGACATTTTGTCGACAAAAAACCAAAGAAAACCAAACCCCAATCCCGATAAAATGTCAAGAAGCGGGCATTTTTGTTTTTTTAACCCTCGTAGAATGAGCCTGACCGCGTAATCCAGACCTCTACAAGGCACGACCGCGCCCTGAAACCAAGCTCTTTCAGCCTTCTCAAGCCTGAGTACCTAACTGGTCCATGTTTCGGCTTCACTTGTTTTGATTGTGTTTTGTTAACGGCCGGAAACGGTTTTTTGCAGCCCCTCCAAGCGGACAGAAATTTCGCGAGGACATATTTTTCCAGCCTCTCGAAGCAGACGCGAATTTATGGCACAAGGGATTCCCAGGTAGGGTTTAGGGTTTAGGGTTTAGGTCCCTTGCCTTCCTAAACCCTGAAACCAAGCCCCTGAGGCGACGTCGAGAAAAAAGCCATCGCTTGGCTGAAGAGCCTGGACGGAAACCGCGGCATCCTGCCACCCGACGCATTAGGGTTTAGGGTTTAGGGTTTAGGGTCTAGGGTCTAGGGTTTAGGGTTTAGGGTGAGGGTTGAGAGCTTATGGGAGCTCCTGAGGTTCATGCGGCGTGGGAACTGGATTCTATTCGGGTTGTGAGGGATGCTGATGGAAGGGCTTGGGCTCTAGGGTATTGCTGTCGGTGACGCAGGTCAGGCCTGAAATCAGGTTAAGACATTCTGCCTAGGGAAGCTAAGCGTTTCCATGGCCAGGACGTTGTCACTTCTACTTTCCCTGGTCCTGCCCACGGCTTGGGGTTCAGGGCTCCGAGACCCCTAGTTGCGTCCCACAACCCTTGAACATGTTTAAAAAAATAAGCAAACAATTCACTCTCGCTCTCTCTCTCCCTCTCCCTCTCCCTCTCCCTCTCCCTCCCCCGCCCGCCCGCCCTCCCTCCCTCCCTCCCCCGCCCGCCCGCCCTCCCTCGCTGCCTCCCTCCCTCCCTCCCTCCTTCCCTCCCTCCCTCCCTCTCTTTCTCTCTCGCTCTCTCTCTCTCTCTCTCTCTCTCTCTCTCTGTCTCTTTCTCTTTCCCGTACATCATGGCCGACATGCTTAAGTCGTCATCATCAAGATTTTCAAGTTGAATCCCCAACTCAATGTCGGACCTCTTGAGCGAGCCCTCCAGACAGGCTACCGTTTCAAGCCATTCTAAACCCGAACAGGTAGGCCCTCGGGCCATTTTCTCTTTTCCCTTATTTGGGTTTAAGAGGATCATATGCAGGAATATTATGCAGAGTGATACAAGGGCCATCCTAGCCGAGGTTGTAGCCAAACCCTGAATCTGCAAAAGGCCTGCAACATTAATTGCGCCCTGAACCCTGTGGCGCAGCCCCACCTCCACAGAACCATAAACTATATCTTAGGATGTTCCCCCTTATCCTAACAGTCCTGGGAATATTTAATGGCTACCGCCAGTGCCGCCGACCCCAGACCCAAGACAGTCGCATTGGGGCGGAAGGCAGGGTGGAGCGCGGGCAGGCGGGGGGGGCGGGGGTGGGGGGGGTGGGGGTGGGTGGGGGTGGAAAGGGGGGCGGCGGTGGGGGGTGACGGTAGAGGGTTGGTGTCGGATTAGGGAGTTGGGGGCGGAAGGCAGGGGTGGACTGGGGGGCATAGAGATGAAGAAGCGATGAGAGCGGTGAGAGCGGGGGGGCGGTCGGATGGTGCACGATGGTGGGAGGGGGTAATGATGGGGAGGGTTAGGGAGTGGGAGTGGGAGAGGGGGGGCGGCTGGCGGAAAGGGGGGCCTGACTCATTTGACCAGCTCTGGTGAGAGGGTTGGGGCGGAAGGCAGGGTGGAGCGCGGCGGGTGGACAGGGGGGGTGACGGTCGAGGGTTGGTGGAGTTGGGGGCGGAAGGCAGGCGGTCAGGGTGGGCGTGGATTGGAATCCCTCAAACTAGAGATTTGTCAGGGGCGGAGTAGGGGGTAGGGGCCTAGGAGGGAAGGGATGGGGGGGGTGGGGGGGGGTGGGGTTTCAGAGTCGAGGCGGCGGGTGGGGGTTGAGGGTAAAGGGTTGGTGAAAACACGACAGATTGGTTAGGGGTGTGGGGGGGGGTGGTGGGGTGGGGGGGGAAGGGCGGTCAGGGCGGGGGGTGGGGGGTGGGGGGGGGGTGGGGGGGGGTGGGGGGCGGGGGGGTGGGGGGGGGGGGGGGGGGGGGTGGGGGGGGTGGGGGGGGTTTGAGGGGTGGGGGGGTGGGGGGGGGTGGGGGGGGGTGTCGGGCATGCACTGGACCCTTTAAACCACCTGAATGGATGGGGTGGGGGGGGGTCAAAGGTCCAATTCAAGGCGTCATGGGTGAGGGCGATGGGTGGCGGGGTTTGGGCATGCACTGAAGCCAAGCAATGCAAAAACACTCCAATTCAAGGTGAGGGCGGTGGGGGGTCTTCACTGACGCCGCCCTGCTACCGCTGGGGTACCACCCCCCCCCATTGTAATCCCTCTTAAGGAACTGTTAGAAACGGGAACATCCCTACACCCTATATCCCCGTAGCCCCAACACCAAAGGCTGCGCTACTTTGCCGGCTTCAGGCCGCCTCTGGGCTGCCGGTGTTTAGACTAAGGTTTGGGTTTAGGGTTTCAGGGGTTTCAGGGGTTTCAGGGTTTAGGGGTTTAGGGGTTTAGGGGTTTAGGGTTTAGGGTTGTGGGTTTAGGGTTTAGGGTTTGGGGTGGATGCACGAAACCCTTGTGGTAGGGTCAGGGCCTATACAGCTTAAGCTCGTTCTCAAGTCTACTTGCGGTCTTTAGCTGCTTCAGGCCATACCGGAACTCTGGGATTTGTCGAACTCTGGGAGATTTGTCGGGCTTCACACGGTTTCGTGTTTAGGTCTATGATCTGAAATTTCCCCAGGCCCCTCGGGCCCAAACCTCTCGCCCAGCCGATGCCAGGGGCATTCGCGAGAAGCCCGAAACCGCCCAGCATCTTCATGTTATCTGCGAGCCGAACCAGACCTAAACCCTAAATCCTAAACCCTAAACCCAAAAAATCCGTTGAGACCCTGAGCCTGCAGGACAAGACACCCCAAAAAACCCGGGAAAAACCAGCATGCCAAACCTAAACCATAATGTCCCTGGGCCGAGATTGTCTCACCTCCTCGCTCCCCAGCCTCAGTGCGTAGCAGCAGATTCTTTTCGCAGCTTCAAGATTTTGCAGACGGCGATGTTTATCAAACTCAAGCATGGGGGGCTATGGTTCGGTTTCAATCATTGCGGATCCAGGGTCTATAGGGACCCCCAGGACGGGGACCACTCAACCCACCAAACCCTAAGCCCTAAGCCCTAAACCCTAAACCCTAGACCCTAAGCACTAATTAAGCCCTAAACCCTAAACCCTAAGCCCTAAACTCTAAGCCCTAAACCCTAAACCCTAATCTGTCTGAGTTGCTCAGTGATTCGGCATGGCGCACCTGGACCGACAGTGGCGTCAGCTGGAGCCAGGAGAGGGGATCTTGAGTGCCGTAGGGGTGTGAGTTTCGGGGCTTAGGGTTTAGGGTTTAGGGTTTAGGGTTTAGGGTTTATGTCCTCCTTGTACTTAAGCCCGAGGGCTTCGGGCTTTCGTCACAGTTGGGCTTCCCTACAATGCGACAACAGGCTAGATAAGCTCGACATGCTGTACTGGGCCCCCTTCCCTAAACCCTAACCCTAAACCCTAAACCCTAAACCCTAAACCCTAAACCCTAAACCCTAAACCCTAAACCCTAAACCCTAAACCCTAAACCCTAAACCCTAAACCCTAAACCCTAAACCCCAGGACCGGGCGCGCATCAGCCTGGCGACTTCGACTTCACAGTTTGCACCTTCAACGTGCTCGCCGAAGGATTGGAGCCCAGAGGCTGCGCGGTGACATTTGAGCCTTGCTCCTTATTAGTAGGGTTGAGGGTTTAGGGTTTAGGGTTTTAGGGTTTTAGGGTTTTAGGGTTTAGGGTTTAGGGTTTAGGGTCTTGGAGAAGTAAGGAGCAGCGGAAGCAGGGCCTCTTGGATGAAATCGCACGCTCCCAGGCAGACATCGTATGCCTTCAGGAAGTTGACCATTTTGACGACTTCTTCAGCCCTGAACTGTCGGCGTCGGGCTATGAAGGCTACTTCGTGCCCAAAACAAAGGGGCCTCCGAAAGAATCTGTGCTGGGTGTGACCGAGGGGCAGGCGATATTCGTGCGAAGCGATCGGCTTCGTGTGCAAAAGGCGACCTGCTGGACAAGCATCGACTTGAAGCAGAAGAAGTGGCAGAGGAAGATTACGCCCGCGTGGCGGAAGCAAACCCGCACCCGCTCTTCTGTTGAGCTTGAGGAGGTCTTTGGAACCGAGAAAGCCCTCCAAGAGGTTCCCCAGGTGGTCCTTGGACTCTTTCTATGCCCCCGTGGCATGGATGAGATGCCCTTCCTCGTCACCAACATGCATTTGAAGAGCAGGGTGAGCGATGAGCAACTTGGGAGAGCTGGTATGTCTCATGCTGAGTTCAAGCACTTTCAGCTCGAGTACTTCTTGCAGGCAGCCTGTCAAGCCGCTGAAGAGCTTGGCACCGGCTTTCCTGTACTTTGCTGCGGCGACATGAACCTCAACCTCCTAGGACAAGGGTTTCGGGCATGGGGTTGAGGGAAAGCATGGTGTATGATTCAGGGCTTCTGCCGTATCATCACCGCATCATGCGATCTCGAACAAGAATAGGCAACAGCAGACTGAGACGTGGCCCTCACACGGGCAGTGCCCATGTCAACTCCTGAACCTTGAACCTGAAGGCCTGAACCCTGAACCCTGAACCTGAAGCCTCAACCCTAAACCCTACACCCTAAACCCTAAACCCTAAACCCTAAACCCTATGAACACCAGGAGACAGGGAGGCTGCCGCCCTGGTCGCCCGAAATGGCTTCGCGGACTCTTGGGCGACCTTAGTAGGTGACGGCGACCGACCCCCAGTGGACTTCATCCTGAAGCGTGATCCTACTGACGCGCGACTGGTGCCCAAGGCCCGAGGAGTCTGAAGAAGGAAGGGCAAACTCCAAAGAGGTTGAGCGTTGTTAGGGTTGATAGCATTTCAGGGTTAGGAAGCTGGGATGGTATGACGCTAAGCCCTAAACCCTAAACCCTAAACCCTAAATAAACCCCAGACCCAAGCTCCTGAGTCCTACCGACTGGGCAAAGACTAAAACCTTCCTCGAAAGCCTTGGAGGCAGCACTGGAGTCTCCTACCATTGAGAGCCGGCAGCCTCTGCCGAACCTCCTATACCCGTCACTTTGTCATAGCTGGGTAACATTTTACATTTTTAATATACTTAAGCCATAGAAATCGAAATTGTTAATACTATCATAACCATGAACTAGGTCAGACCACCTTCTTCGTGCAGTGAAGCTGTGTCTGCGGGCATGACATGCTGGCAAGTGGCTGCCTGAGATGTACAGTTGACCTGTGGACCAAAAGCCCTGAACACGAAACGCAAAGGCACGCACACAAGGCGCCAGACATGCGACTTGGTGGCGCGAGCCTTTGAGACTGTCCAGGACAAGTTTAGGAGTTTGTAAGGTTTACATGGCCACCATACGTCAGGGCTGTTGTGGAGTTCTCTGTCAAGCGTAAGCTCTTGAACCTGCAGCCGCTTCACTTGCTGCTCTTATCAGAGTTTGGGTAGCTTCGTTTACTTGCTACTTCAAGCCCTGGGGTCTATGGTTTAGGGTTTCGGGTTTAGGTTCAGGGGAGCTCCAAGCATGGAGCTTGGCTGGCTTTTGCCCACCCTCGATGCGTCCCTCGACGTGGATCGCGACAGACGGACCAGATGCAAAAAAGGCTGACCCATTTGGGGCTTCACAGGCGTGAGTTCCCAAGCGTATAGCTCATCGCCCTCAAGTGCAGCGGAGCCTGAGACCACAAGCCCTGAATTATGCTGCCCGTCTTCTCGCTTGACTCTTTTTTTTACCTAAGGATGAGGATGGCATCGGATGAGCCCCCAAAGCCCGCAAGCTCTAGAAAGGCAGACCCTCCAGACTGCATCCCTCCCCTCCCAAAGTCTTACAACCTGGGTCAAGGGTTCATGGCTCCGCTTGCCTGAACCCTAAGGGTCCATGTACCTATGCAGTACATACTTGGGCCTTAAAGGGGTTCCCATATAGTAGCTTTAGGGCCGAAATATATACTATATAGGTACATGGACCCTTAGGGGAAGAGATGCCATTCCCCCCCCCCTCTATGTCCCCCCCACCGAATGCCCGACAGCAGAAGAGCAGGGACGAGTTTCAGTTCGACTTCTCACAGCTGGCTGCTGCCAGGCCTCAAGCCGGGCTTAGGGTTTAGGGGTTAGGGGTTTAGGGGTTTCGGGGTTTCGGGGTTTAGGGGTTTAGGGGTTTAGGGGTTTAGGGGTTCAGGGGTTTTGGGGTTTTGGGGTTCAGGGGTTTTGGGGTTTTGGGGTTTAGGGGTTCAGGGGTTCAGGGGTTTAGGGGTTTTGGGGTTTAGGGGTGTAGGGGTGTAGGGGTTTAGGGGTTTAGGGGTTTAGGGGTGTAGGGCGGGGTTCAGGGGTTTAGGGTTTAGGGTTTAGGGTTAGCGCCATTGGAGGTTGAATAGAGTTTGGCTTTTCGAGATTTGCGTGTTTTAAACCCTCCCACAGTGCGTGCAAGAGCTCCACAGGGCACCCTAAACCCAAAACCCTAAACCCCAAACCCTAAACCCTAAAGTGGCTCTACAGACTGCCAGTGCAAACAAAGGTAGCTCGGATTGTAGGCTTGGCAGCCCAGTGGTGCCCTTTATCTTTGTTTTTTTAAGTTCAAGGTTCCCTTATTACGGTCACCCCCAAAAGCAGGTGCCCTTATTATAAGATGGTTGCTGGGCTAGCAAGTAATAGTAAGGATAAGTTTAGACTGATGGAGAGAAGCCAAACTCACCAAGCCAATCGCCCCTGTGCGAAGATGGTTTAGGGTTTAGGGTTTAGGGTTTAGGGTTTAGGGTTTAGGGTTTAGGGTTTAGGGTTTAGGAGATGTCTAACCTTGTGCTACGCGCTCATCTACAACAGTCGATTGTTTTAAGCATAGATACAAGATCCCAGAACCACACCCCCCCCCCCTCCCTAAATCTTGAATAGGCAACCCTAAACCCTAGAAAACCTAAACCCTAGAAGCCATAAGCCCCATAAACTCTGAGCCCTAACCCTAAACCCTAAACCCTAAACCCTCAACCCTCAACCCTCAACCCTAAACCCTAAACCCTAAACCCTAAACCCTAAACCCTAAACCGCAGCAGTACGACCCGGCCAGGCTCGATGAGCCCGTCGCCGAAGGCATCCTTGGGCAGATTGAGCCTTCCATCTTCGAGGCACACTCCTCAGTGCACACTTCAGCGGTTTAGGGTTTAGGGTTTAGGGGTTTGGGGTTTAGGGTTTTGGGTTAAGGGTTTAGGGCCCGTTTAGGGTTTAGGGGTTGGGGTTTGGAGTTTAGGGATTAGGGTTTAAAGTTTCGGGTTTAGGGGTTGGGGTGTAGGGTTTTGGGTACCCAACTGTCTTCTCGGGGAGGTCATCATACAAGGGCCCGTCCGACGACAACACCCGACCCCTGAAGTCCTACCTGGAGGTTCATGGTACGTAGCAACCCAAACAAAAACTAGGACCCGGAGTAGGCCTTTGTTTTTTTTTTAGGGTTTGCAGTTCCCTTAGAATTGCCTTACAACCAGAAAGGGTACCCTGTTTACTACGCTTACAGTGGGGTTATAAGTACCCTGAACCTCGAAGTACACCCCACCTTGTACACCTCAAAGAGTGTCTCTCTCCGCAACTCTGCTACAACTTGAGATGTTCCCCCCCCTTTACTAACAGTCCTTAATAGGGCTCATAATAGGGGGCACGATCATCCCTATGAAGGATTGTAGTATAAGGGGGAGCATCCCAAGCTACGACTCAGTTCAAATCCGACAGACCCCCGAATTCCCCTTTCCAAAGACCTCAAAGCCCGCCCTAAGCAATATACCCCACAACCCCACAAGGCCTGCACTCCTTAAAGCCCTGAGAGCTCTAACCCTTTGAAACCCAAACCCCACATTCCCAAACCCCCGTCTATTTCAGGCACTGGGTGTCGAGCCGATCGGCCACCGGCTGCTGCTCGCGCGAGGTATCCTGGCGCTGAAGCCCTGACGGCAGCCGCGTGAGGGTTGAGAGTGGTTTTAGGCTTTAGGAGCATTCGATTGCATCATAAAGTTGCATACGCTAAGGGCCTAGAGGAGGCTTTACGGCCAGCGGGATATAGATCTTCAGGGCCTCGAGATATTGAACTCTTGAGGGTGTGGACGGAGTCGGGTCTTAGGTCAGCGGGATTTGGGTGTCTAGCGAGCTGAGTACTTCTTTACGCGTTGCTGCTATATAGGGTTTAGGATTTCGGGCTGTGGTACTAGAGCATTTATATTTGTGTTGTTTTGTCTTGGGTGTCTCTGTTGGCCGGGGCTGTCTGGAGCTTGATACAAGTGTCTTGGTCCTTTGAGGGTTCACTACAGTACCCGCTGCACACTGTAGGAATCACCAATAGAGCAAAATGTTTCTTGTTTCGGTTCTGGGATCGGTAGCAGAGAAGTCCACAAGTGACGCCCTGGTCGATTCTCGCCCCCCCAGTGCGCACGAGAGCGCGTTGCGGAAAATCAGCGAGGCCGTGCCCAAGCGCCTAAAAGCCACGAGCCATCAATCCCCCTTTCGGTGGCCTCGCTCCTTTCTTTGAATGTGGCGTTTCGTTTATTTGGTTAAGGACGTATCCTAAAGTGTGTCTTTGCACGAAATATAGGCAGTCCGTCTGAACCCCGATTGAGTCCCGCATTTTTCCTCAGCTTGTCACTGCAGTTCTTGGATATATGCAAGGGTGCATGGCGATCCATTTGAAAGGGTTCTCCCTCGAGGTTCTTGTGTGAAAAGCGGAGGGCAAGTGCACAGCAAGGAAACCCCTAAACCCTAAATCCCTAAACCGGGGTTTCAACTCGGCATGGGTGATGCTGGGGTGGATTTAGAATAGATTTTGAATTTCTATGGGTCCTAATCCCTATATACCCTTAATGGCCCATAGAAATTAAAATTTTGGTGGGGCCCCCAAATGCCCCGCAGGATGAAGTAGGGGCCGCTGTCATGCTGAGGCCTATAGGCCCCAAACCTTACCGTCGCACTCTGCGCGCGCGTCTCACAGGGAAGAGCTAGAGATTCATCACCCCTCCCTGCCAACGAGCTCCCTTGCCTTCGTGGAAGACCAAGTGGGGATCCCAGCACTTGTTGTGAGCTTAGGATGTGATGAAGGGCCCCTGGTCTACTGTGTGCAACATGGAGGTTTACGCGATTAGGGGTACCTTATTGGGGTCCTTATGATAAGAGAATCCTACTATTTGGGGTCTATATGAGGGGTTCCCTCATTTTCGTAAACCTCCATATGGGCTTGGGTCAGTTTAGTTTTCAGGGCTATTGGAGGCTTCAGGATCCAGGGCGCTTTCGAGCTCGCGGCGGCAGGGTCTGAGAATGTGGCAAAGGGTTCAGGAATTTGGAAGAAGCAGGCTTTAGAGTGACCGCAACTGCCGGAACAAAAACCCTAACTCATTCCCAAGCCCCAGAGACAGCTTGGTTGTTTGTTTTCTCGTAAGTGCTAGCCACAAGGACACTTTGTTTGAAGGATTTGCAATGGGCCATGGGTCTCGAGGTTAGGGTGCCGGTAAAGACACACAAGCAGCCTCGAAACCTGGCTAGGCGGTTGTAGCCATTTCCTCCGTGTTTTTTTTTCGGGGTTCTGATATTTCAAGGAGTTTAGGGCCTTATAGCGTGTAGAGTTGGCGACTCTTGGGATCCTGAGGGCTTGGGGTATTGAAACCAAACCTTGAGCTGCTAGACCCCTATAAACCCCTCTTCTTGGCCAGGATTAGTCAACATGGCCCGCGGTATCATCAAGCACCTGAAGCGCATGTATGCGCCCAAGCACTGGATGCTCGACAAGCTGAGGCCCAGAAGCTTGATGCGGGCGTCCCTTAGTCGAGGGTTTGGGGTGTTCTGGCTTCATTTAAGAGGTGTGCTCAACTGTAAGCCTCAGATAGTATATTCTCATTATTAGCTCCCGTATATTGCTTCTACGCTTAAAGCCCTGAATCCAGCCATTTTTCAGGACCTTCTGATTGAATTGACTTTAGGAGTGGTCAGGACTTAGGATTTGCAGATGCCCATGGGCTTGTAAGGTTTAGGGTTTGGTGTTGGGTGTTTCTGCCTTGGCGCGTTGCGCAGATTGAATTTGCAAGCCTGCCCAGCCATCCATGTAGCACACAACGCCAGCAGCACCCTGAGCTCTGCCGAACATACCCAAAGCCCCCAGCCCCACCTGCCCGCCCCCACCCCCCCACCCCACCCCGCCCCTCACCAAGCACGTCCTCATCCATGGAAATAACCCTAAACCCTATACCCTAAACCCTAAACCCTAAACCCTAAACCCTAAACCCTACTCACCCCAAAACCCTGACTCTAAAGCCTCGAAACAGCTCCTGGCAACAGGGGCCGATGGGCTCCGAAGCCTTCGGCCGGTCCACACAAGCTGCGCGAGTGCATGCCTCTCATCGCGCCTCGGCTGGGTTTAGGGTTTAGGGTTTAGGGTTTAGGGTTTAGGGTTTAGGGTTTAGGGTTTAGGGTTTAGGGTTTAGGGGTTAGGGGTTTAGGGTTTACGGCTTCTCGTATGCCTCTCATCGCGCCTCGGCTGCTTTGAGCTCCTTGGGTTTGCTAAAGTGTTTCTAGAATAAGATAAAAATGTCACACATATACCAATATCATCAGTTCTGAAGCTCTGAATCCTAAACCCTCCGTGCTTCAGGGTGCAGAGCTTCAAAGTTTCAGGCAGAAGTCTCTGGGTTGAAAGTCGGCGTTTTATGGGTTTCAGGCGACATCGCCACAGAGCAAGCACTAAAGTCTGACGATGAGAATCGGAGGCGGCCTGCATCCGACCATCCGGACTTTTTGTAGTTCTCAACCAACAAGCATGCTGCAGCGTGTTTCAGGGTTGAAGCTGGTTGCTCTCTGATTTCGGGGTGGGGGCAAGATGAGCTGCCGGGTTTGTGGTCTAGGGGTTTCAATCGACTTTGCGGCGGCTACTGCGGGCTAACGGTTTGATTGCGCTGCGCACTGCTTGGGTATGGGATGTGTCGTGTTTAGCGGCTGTCGCCGCTAAACCCTAAACTCGACAACCCCGAAACCCTCAACCCTAAATCCCTAAGTCCTAAACCCATGGTCCCTCAACCCTAGACTGCCTTCATGCCAGAGTCCTGTCACACACAGCAGATGCGCTCCCGCCCACCTCCCACCCTAAACCCTAAACACTAAACCCTAAACCCTAAACCCTAAACCCTAAACCCTAAACCCACCTTAAAAGCCTACGCTCCCTCAACCAAGGTCATGCTGCGCCAGCGACTAAAGTGGCTTCGCTCAAGATATGGGGTTTAGGGTTTAGGGTTTAGGGTTTAGGGGGTTTCCGAACTTAGGGGTACCCTATTCGGGGTCCTCATTCTATGGGGATCCTACTATTTGGATTTCTTTATTGGGGGGGGGGGGGGGGGGGGGGGGGGGATTTCGTAACCTCCATATGTCTGCGTGTCTGTGTGCGTGCGTGCGTGCGTGCGTGCGTCCGTGCGTGCGTGAGTGCGTGCGTGCGTGCGTGCGTGCGTGCGTGCGTGGGTGTGTGTGTGTGTGTGTGTGTGTGTGTTTTTTTGGTTTTGGGGTGGGTGACTGGCTGGCTGGGGTGCTTGGCTGGCTTTTGTTGCGCTTGGATTCCTTCAAACATGAACTGGTACCCGAAGGCTTGCAATTAGCTTCAGGGTTATGGGCCCCGAAGGTTTCGAAGCAACAATCCGGGAAACCACGACTCCTGCTTTTTGAGTTGTGGGGTGTCTTCATGAGTTCAGGTCCCCTGAAACAGCAGCTACCCCCAGAGAACATAGACCAAAAGCCGCTGGGGCCCCAGATCCTGAGCATGATCCTTTTCTTGTATAAACCTAAACCCTACACTCTACTTCGACTTCTTGTCAGTCTTCAGCAGACCCGGCGCCGAAACCCTAAATCATCGGAAGTTGGAACCGAAGAAGCAAGAAATGCCCAGGTATGCGCTGACCTACCGTGAGGTCAAGATGATTGTCATGCAGCGCTTGATCAAGGTGCCTTTGGTGGAGGGTTCAGGGTTCAGGGTTCAGGGTTCAGGGTTTAGGGTTTAATTAGGGCATTAGGGTTTAGGGTTCAGGGTTTAGGGTTTAGGGTTTAAAGGGTTCAGCGTGTAAGATGTTGGGTTGTAGACTTCTGGTGTCAAGAACGTGAGATGCTCAAGGGCAATCCCGACACTTCTCGACCCGAGAATCCGAAACCATGTGCAGTTTAGGAAGTTTAGGACCTGAGGGGGGTCAAAGAATCTGATCGTGGGGTGTGGCAAGTAGGATCAAATTGGAGTGGATTGGGCTTGGGTTGCCGGCTCCTTGCCGCGGACCGTGTAGGCCGTAAACCCTAAACCCTAAACCCTAAACCCTAAACCCTAAACCCTAAACCCTAAACCCTAAACCCTAAACACTAAACACTAAACACTAAACCCTAAACCCAACCCAGGTCGACGGCAAGGTCCGCACCGATATGTTCTACCCAGCCGGCTTCATGGACATGGTGCCCCTCTGGAGTTGGAGGGTTGAGGGTTGAGGGTTTAAGGGTTTACCCTGCGGGTTCACTTCCAAGTGTGGTGCAAAGTGTCAGTTGTGTCGTTATTTACAGTGTATGTGTTTTTCGGCTTTGGAAGGAGAATCAGGTTTTGGGTGGCTTTTTGTTCATGTCATCATCTTGTGTGGTCAGGATAGAAATATTGGCATGACAGCGTGATAGGGCTGAAGTCTGTCTTGTCATGATGATGTAAGCATTGTAGCGGGACAGCGCTGAATCTGCCATGTCGTCCCTGCGTTGGTTGGCTTTGCTGCTGAGCATTGTTCTCGTGCTTCAATGCATCGGCAGTCGCTTGCCTGCGGCTCTGCATCGTTTGGAGCGGTTCGCAGGCAACGACCTGCGGGCTCACTTTGACGTGCTCGTCTCCACGCCGTCTGTGTCCGTGAATGTGGCCCTTTTTGCTATGTTTTATGAGGATCGGTCTGGCGCGATACCATGGGTTTCTTTGGCCGAGTGCGCAGGAGATCTTGCTTTTTGCTTGGTAACAGAGAGGAGTCGGATAGCACGCTCACCAGACGTACAAGACATGGCACGGCGGCATCAAATGTTGATCGAGCGACGTTTTGGTGTTTTGTCGACATGGCCTCCTTTACCACATGACCTGGCGAGTCATGTGCGTGCCTGGCAGACCCGAGCTCGCGGCTCAGTGCCGTCAGAGGATTGGGTCACATCTGGCGTGGATCCAGAAATGGCAGAGCAGACCACGGCTCCCGGCAATGTGACGGACATCTTCGCAGAGGAGTTAGACTTCGACGCATTGGCCACGGACGTGGCAGCTGGGCTGGACTTATGTTTTATGTAGTTTGCATTTTCCCTATCCTGAAATTACGTCAAGAGTTTTCGCAAGACGCAAGAGACTGTGAGGAATACGAAGAGGAGTCACAGCAACTTGAAGCTTCAGAAGATGAGGTGGGCGTGGTGTGCCTGTTACTTGGTGTGCCCGTTGCTTCTTGTCATGGCTGCTAGGCTCGTAGGCACATGAGAGACACACGGGCTGCGAGTGGAGCAACACCTACTGCAGCCGTGCAGGTTCTTAGCCAGTTTCAATGTAGCCGGAGCATCGTCTCCGTTTCAGGGGTCATGGAATGCAGCTCGCAGTCGTCCAGCCGGGCGGGCGTAAGCCTGTCACAGATGCTGCGTGCGATGCTGTGCGCTTTGTCACAGCAGCTGCCATCTGCGCGTGAGCAGGAACGGTTTTGTGAAGAAGTTGTGCCAGCTTTGCTGGAGGGCTTGTCTGACATACACGGAATGGTGACCTTGGATCGGCGCAGCATCATGCATGAGATTGACATGCTTGTCTCACTGGCATGGTCTTTGGAGGCAGCGGTCAAGGATACGTCCGGCAAGTCAGACATTCGCATTGTGGAGTCACATCTGCATGCGCGAGGAACATGCCAGGGCAGCTTGACCGGAAATTCCGAGGTGTACTTGATGGGGCCTGATCCTGCGCATGCTAGGGAGGCGAGAAACACCCTTCGCACATTGCGAGAGAAAGTGCAGGCATGGTCCAGCATAGTGACATGCACGACGCAACTCGAGGAGATGTGGTCTGACGTGCTTTGCTGCGCACGTGACATAGAGGTCGTCTTGGAGCATCGTGTGCAGTGCGTCCTGCTGGACGCAGACATGTAGTCGACAGGGCAAGCTGTCTGGAAAAGGGTTTCATCTCCCGTAACCCCCGTAGCCGCCAAGAAGTTTCTTAACCAAGAACGACTGGGCAGGACGCAGAAAAGGTGGACATGGAGGATTGGAGGATGTCTGCAGCCCAATGCCGGCATAGAGCACCCTAAGCAACAACAAAGCAACGACCTTTCGAAGACGACTTGGCAGGAAGCAGAAAAGCTGGACATGGAAGATGTGTGCAGTGCAAGGGCGACAGAGGCGAGTTTGGGGTTCGTGCAGACAGGGAGGGTTTGGGTTCAGGAGTGTTTGGCTGAGGAATGAGGGCATTATGGTTTGAGGGTTTTTGGGCGACTGGGAACGTGCTGTAGCCTAAACCCCCGCCTCCCGTTAAGAGCACCCTATACCCGAAGCAACAAGCAAGCAACGACCTGTCCAAAACGACTTGGCAGGAAGCAGCAAAGCTCGACATGGACGATGTCGGCAAGAAAGACGCGGCAAAGGCCAGGTCGAGCGCGGAGAAGTAGCTGTAAAGTAGGTGCGCGCAGTAGTGGCAGAGTGTGCGGTGCACGTTTGTTGCAGTGAAGGGTTCAGTTTAGTGCAAGAGCCCCAAGCCAAACTCCGCAAACGCCACCAGAACGATGTAGCCTTTGGGGTTCAGAGAAGCCGTGGTGTAGGAACCATGCCGAAGCGGAAATGGCAAAGCCAAACCTGCCAGTTCTGTCACTGCCCTGGGCATAACTTGCGAGGGTGCCCGAAACTTGCACAGAAAGTTTTCAAGGCAGTGCAGCGCAAGCACAGTGCCGACAAAGTGGCAGATGCCGTGAAGCAAGGAGCGAGTTCGTTTGCTGTGTGCGGCATCCAGGTGAGATACGGCTCGCGCAAAAGTGCAAAGAAAGCGGAGAACCGTCGTGTCAGGCAGGTCCACCGCGGGACTCGTGGCATTTCCAGTGCGAGAAAGAAAGAGAAGCGCAGAACTGGAAAGACTTGGAACGAGCAAAGACGGACAGAGAAGCGAAAGACGAAGAATGACAAGCTGGTTCAGGCGGCTTTGCAGTTTGATGCCATAGGAAAGGCTTGGTCAGAGCTGAAGCTGCACGGGTTCGTCAAAAGTGGCATGCGGGGTGGCATGGCGAGCTTCCCTTGTCCCAATTGCAACGACACGTGCGTGTGCAGTGTGGCCCTGAATTCCAGGCAGCGGAGAAGTACAGCAGAGAGACAGAAACACGTAGAATGGCTGCAGAAGAGTGGGAGGCAGATGAACACCATGTGGTTTCGCGGCACAAAGTGCGGCAATCCCATCTCCTGTATCCGCTTCACACACCTGCCACAAATGAAGTACGGCATGCCCCTTCCGCAGATAGTCGACTTCATCAAAGAGTTTACAGACCGACCAGTGCCGAATTTCCAGGACATCTGCAAGCGCGTAGGTGTCAGCCGTTCCTCTTCGTCCAGGAGCCTCTTTCAGTTTCTCCTCCAGAAGGAGGCGTTTCTGGGATACCGGCTCATGCAGAAAGTCCGGCTCAGCGGCGTAGTAGAAGCAGATGGGACGGCCCTCAAGTTGTACAAACGACGGGGCCACAACAACTTCGTTGCCTTATGGGGGCTCGTCGAGCGGCCGCAGAACCAGCAGCCGCCGCGGATGGTCGTGTACATGATGCCTGTGAAGCAAGTGGCGCACAACGCTGTGTGCCCTGTAGAAAGCAGAGCTGACGTCTTGTCCTGCAGAGGCTTAGAGCATCTCGTCAGCCAAGAGACCGACAGCGGCAAGGTCGCCAGCTTACTTGTGACGGACGGCGCCCAGCTGTATGAGCGGCTTGCCAAGGAGCATAGCCTCAAGCATCGGTACGTTGTCCACTCCAAGGGTCAGTTTGCCAAGAAGCAGCGCATCAGTGGCCGAGGCACGATCAATGTAAACACTGGTTTGATAGACCAGCGGTGGTCTGGCATCAAACAATACATCCCAAAGAGCTTGAACGGTAGCAGCAAGGAAGCCAAGACGCCTACTTTTTGCCCGCACCTGTGGGCGTACTTGTACAGTTGGTGGCTGAGAACACATTTCCCGAGCGCAAAGCGCCGCAGGGAACTGCTTGCTCAGGCCTTTCGGGATGAAGCCTGACGCAGCTGATGCTGACGAGATGTCCAGTCTACTGCGAGCAAAGGCATGGGGTGGAGCAAGAGCTCAGCATGGGGAACAAAAACACTGCACACGCACCTGCGTTTGATCCGTGCTGCTGAGTAGTGTCCCCCCCCCCGACAAGGTTGGAGTAGAGGTTTTTTGAATGTCTCTCATGTCTGCCAGGCCGAAGAAGACTTAGCACGAGATGACCTACACTTTCTCAGCCACGCGCTGCAGGCTTGCTTGCAGCCCTGTTGTCAGGTGACGTGTTATGGCATGATGTGAGTCATCCCTGACAGGAGACACCAAGCCAAGAGAACATTCTGGACAGCCCATGGACAAAGAAGTACAAGAGGTGGCACGTCGCACAGACCTCCGGAATCACGAAGCTTCAGAAGAAGGCTGCGTGGAATCCACATGTGCTCCTGAGTAGCGCAGCGAGTAGTAGCACAAGTGGTCCTAGCGTGCCATGCGAAGACCGCGTGGAAGACTCTGGTGAATGTGATGATTTCATCGAAGACTTCAGCCCCGAAGTTGAGGCAGACTCCTCAAACATGAATGAGATACCGCCAGAAGTAGAAGAGCAGCTACAGCAGGAGCGAGGTTTGATAAAGTATAGCGTGCCTGCTGTTGCAGATCGACAGCGGCGCTTCAAATGGGGCGGCTGTCCGCGCCACACAAAGTGGAGCCTTCAAGTCCATGTCGTGCGCTCCGGCCCCTCAAAGGGAGCCATATTGCTGCGATGCAGCGGCTTCTGGAAGCGGGGACGAGACCAGAAGCGGTTGTGCTTTTGGAACTGGCCCTTCCCCATGGGATTGTACAGCACCTTGCCAGCTAACATTAAGGAGCAGTACGAAGACCTGAACATGGCACTTGCACGCGGAGCCAGATGAAAGAGAAGAATTGGGGCACCTATCCCCCCCCCCCCCCAAGCCCCACCCAGAAGACAAGCAAAAACCAGGAACAGGCTGTCACGGAACGCGCCTAGCGCGTTCCGTCATCAAGAGTAACATCCATAACATGTTGCTAAAAAGAAGGTGTACAGTCACTGCATCGAAAACACCTGCAAATAACAGCATTTAACAGCATTTCCGTTCGCGGCAGGTGACGTCCGGGCCTCAGTAACCACTTCCTAAACCCAAAACACACCCTTGCAACTGAACCCGCCTGCAGGGTTTAGGGTTTAGGATTTAGGGTTTAGGGTTTAGGGTTTAGGGTTTCGGGCTTAGGGCTTAGGGTTTAGGTTCAAGCAGAGTTGAGGGTTGAGGGTTTAGGGTTTAGGGGGTGTTGTGGGTTTATGCCGCAAGCTGCCACTGGTTTACAGTCGGACCTGTATCAAGCCAGAGTGGAAAATTATTACGCGTGCTCCTGTCATGCGAGGAGATTTCAAAAGAAATTCCAGAAGAGCGCACAAAGAGTCTCCAAAGCTTTTGACATTCACCACCTTGAACCTGCCAAACCCAACCTCCAAGCCTCAGCGTGCCTCATGTGGAGAGAATCTGCGGATCCCCCACGGAAGAAAGTATTCCTTCTCGGCCCCTCGACCGTCGTTTCGCGTGGTTTACGGTTAGTCGCTGTGTGGGCTATATCAGGCTGTATGGGTTTAGATGTTCCGGATTTTAGGCTACTTTAGTCGATTTCCACCCTGAACCCTAAATCCTAAACGCTAAACCCTATAACCTATAACCCTAAACCCTAAACCCCAAACCCTAAACCCCAAACCCCCAAACCCTAAACACTAAACCTCGATTTCCAGGCTGATCTGCTTGCGAGGTACAGATTGACAAGACCAAGGAGAACTTCCGGCTCCTCTACAACACCAAGGGGAGGCCAGGGGCCCTCACTGAAAAATCAGCACTACCATGTGCTGAATAACTAAAGAACCCCCAAAAAAGAAGAAATAAGAATCCCCATATCCTTATAAGGGAGAATCTGGTTTTTTTGGGGGGGCTTCTGAAGCAAGTAGTAGAACAGCGTCAGAGCCTGGACCGTACTTGGTGAACCTGGATGTGACGCACATGACCTTTAACCGCTTCTGAAGATCTAACCACCCTCCCGCTGGTCGGGCGGACAAAACTCGGACCGGGAGTAGGCCCTTGTTTTCCTTTCTTTAGGGTTGGGGTTCCCTCATAATCCCCTTTAAAACCAAAAAAGGGCACCCTTTTTATTCCTAGGTTACTCCCGGGTCTAGAAAAACATGGGAGCCGGAGCCAGGTTTGTCCTTCACAAGGTGGCCAAGGAGGAGGCGCGGCTTGGGAGTTTGGGTATATTTTCTGGGCTTAAGGCTCAGTTCTTTTTTCGTTGCAACATGTTTGGCAATCCCGGATGAGGTTTTCAAGACTGTTGAGAGGTCATAACCCTAAACCCTAAACCCTAAACTCTAGGGTTCGGGGACCTTTGTAGTTGTGATCTTCGGTAGGAAAGGAGATCGGCATCGCGGCAAAGGCCCCCTTCCCCCAACGAATCCGAACATCCCTCCCCAGCACGGCTCTCACAACAAAGCGCCGTGCCCTATAACTTGGGATGTTCCCCCTTATGCGAAAGTATAGGGGGGGAACATCCCAAGAACCCTAAGATGATGTAGGATTGAAGGGCCCGCACGCATGCAGGCGCAGTACAAGCTCTGCCGGGTGAAGCGCGTCACGCGCGGCCCGAAGGGCGTTCCCTACGCGCAGATGCGCGGCTGCATGTCTTGGGGGGGGGGGGGGGCACTGCCGAAAGAGCCCAATACCCCTTAATTAAGGAATACACCTTAAACCATACTAAGGATCCCTATATAAATTAAGCAATATTCCTTAATCAAGGGATATTGGGCTCTTTGGGTGTGCCTAGGGCTCAGGTTTGGTCGGCACAGGTGATCAGTGCGACTCAAATTGAACACCCCCAAGGACTCACGATGGCCGAACCATCCGCTATCCGGATCCTGACATCAAGGCGGCGGCACCCTGAAGCCAACTGGAGTCTTATAGGCAAAGCGCAGAAATCCTAAACCCTGATAACCTTTCAAGTTCGGAGCCATTCGGGCAGGAAAGGCGTCTCTTGTGACAACACAAGCCAACCCCTAAACCATCCCTGGCCGGCCCAAATCCATCCAAACACCGACCTTGAGTTCCAAGATTTGCAGCCCTAAACCCTAAACCCCCAACCCTAAACCCTGAATTCTCTCGGCGGGCTTGAGACGGTCTAGGGTTGCCTCCAGAGATCTAAAGTTGCTCGAATCCCAAGCATCAAGGCGTCCCGAACATGTTGAAAAATCACTCGTTTCCTGAACCCCTGAACCCTGTAAGCCTTCATGGTTTCTAGGTTGGGTTTTTGGGACATTTTTAATTTTCCTTATTTGGGTTTACAAGGGGCCCTACATATAAACAATTTCGAGAGGGTTGAAAGGCCAACCCAGTTTTGCATGTTTGGCTCATGGGCAGGCCTTGGGGAAGAAGATCAACAGGAGGGTTGTCGGGGCATGGCTGACTATGCCCAAAAGGCCCAAAGCGGCAGCCCACGAAGTCGTTAGCTACTTTTTGCCGAAGAACCCGCCAAACAAGAAAAAACAAGAATCCCTATAGTGCCCTTATAAGGAAGATGAATCCCTATATTGCCCTTATAAGGAAGATGAATCCCTATATTGCCCTTATAAGGAAGATGAATCCTTTTATTGCCCTTATACGGATGATTTTGTTGTTTTTGAGCGGGGGTCCTTAAGCCAATATAGTTGTTAGGGCTTCGGGCTGGGATGTCTAAGTTCAGGGGACTAAAGGAGGGACTCTGAAAAGGGACCTTAGGGTTTATTTGGGGGTTATTGCGGGGCTACTTAGGTATGTGGGGATTAGAGAAGGTGTATAGAGGGGTTATGGGAATAAGATTAAGGGTCCCTTCTGGGGGTCCCTGCTTATACTCCTTAACAAAGTTCTTTGATACTGCACGAACCGTTTGCAGTCGAATGACACCATCCGCCTGGAGTTGGACACAGGGCTGCTCGCTCGCACGTGGGACACGACTATAGGGTTTAGGCGATATGAAACTATATCCTTATTACCCAAATCGTTCGGTTCTAGGGCGTTCATGGCCTCATCACCATACTATATGGATGACGCCAGACATCTACGAGCCCTAATTTCAGAATCCTGTTGCCTTGCTCTGTTTCGCGGAGTGGGGTAGTAGCTAGTGTGTATGGTTCACTGAACTCCTTAACATGAGCCCTCACGCATGAACCCCAAAACCCCAAAAATCACAGCAAGTCACCTATGAACTTTGAGCGCCTGAAACCCTGAACCCTTTGTCCTCCTTGGATGCACCCCATGAGCCCCTCCGCACGCCCTTCCCTCCGATATTTTGCCGCTGAGCATGTCCAAGTGCCAGGGTTGAGGCTTCAGTTCAGCGCCTCAAGCCCTCAAACCCCAAAGCGCTGAGCCACGCAAGGCCGGCAATACCCTATACCCTAAACCCTAAACCCTAAGCCCTAAACCCTGAAACCCTCCCCCCCGAATACCAAAGCAAAATCCTAGGAAGATCTTGGACCACGTGAAGTTCGAGGTCGGAAACACGGTGATGTGCAGCACCTCGGTCCTGAACCCCAGGCCGTATACCCGAAACCCTATAACCGTGGGGTTTAGGGTTAGGGTTTAGGGTTTAGGGTTTAGGGCTTAGGGACCCTAAACCCTCAACACCCAGAAGCGTGGTGAACTTAGGGCTTAGGGAGGAGAAGGCCCTGGAGCTCATAAATGACGTTTTACGGTTAAGATGGCGGGGGCTCATGCGATGAAGGCTCAAAGGTTGTGGAGTTCAGGATTTAGGGTTCAGGGTTTAGGGTTTAGGGTTTAGGGTTTAGGGTTTAGGGTTTAGGGTTTAGGGTGCAGGGTTCGAGGTTGTCTTGACCTTAGAAAGCCCCCAAACCACTAAAAGCTGTAGGGGACCGAAGCTCCGAACCACACACCCCGTAAACCCTAAACCCTAAACACTAAACCCTAAACCCTAAACCCTTGTCCCTAAACCCTAAACCCTAAACCCTAAACCCTAAACCCTAAACCCTAAACCCTAAACCCTAAACCCTAAACCCTAAACCCTAAACCCTAAACCCTAAACCCTACCCTCCAAGCCCAGGCGCCGGAAACAACATTGGCCGCGTGGGCACCATCACGCAGCGCGAGAGGCATCCTGGCTCCTTCGAGATCATTCACATCAAGGACCTGGGAGGGTTTAGGGTTTAGGGTTTAGGGTTTAGGGTTTAGGGGTTAGGGGTTAGGGGTTAGGGGTTAGGGTTTAGGGTTTAGGGTTTAGGGGTTAGGGTTTAGGGTTTAGGGTTTAGGTCTGATTTTAGAAGGTTGAGGCACAGGGCCTTGCGAATCTACAGCACTCAGGTTCAGCTCAGGGCAATGTAAGTGCAAGGCATGTTGGTTTAAGTTTTCGGGGCAGGTCCCAGCAGTGAACGCCCGATTGCGAAATCCCAAGACCCCTTTCCCAGCAATGGCAGGATTCCCTCGGCCACGAGTTCAACACTCGGCTGGAGAACGTCTTTGTGATCGGGAAGGCGGCTGTCACATTTTCCTGATCGCCTGGTAGCGCGAGGTTGCGAAAAGTGCTACCAATTGCTTAAGAACCCCCCAAAAAACACAAAATATTCTTCCTTATAAGGGTAATATAGAGATTATTTGTTTTACTATTTTTCGGGGGCTCTTCAGCAAATAGTAGACTTGTGGGTCAGGAGCCACCCGCACGTACGTACTATGCATGCAACGGCCAGCGATGGAGTTTTGAACAGCTCCCCGATGTTACGAGGCGCATTTCGATTCTTTTGGAGGATTTCCATCCTGGATAGGGCAAAGCTTATTCTGATCGATTGCAGTGGCGGATGCCCAGGAAAATGCCCTAAAAATGTTTCGGTGGGCCCCCAGTGGGACTTTGTGTGAGGTTTGGGGCCATTCAAGGCTTTTAAGGCTTGTCGGGTAGTCGCGGGTCCCCGTACAGCCCCACAGCCCAGAATCCCTAGAAACCATCCCGTGCAGGGGAACAAGCCGTGGATCTCCTTGCCCAAGGGCAATGGCGTGAAGCTCCTCGGGTGATCTTGAGAACTCTTTGAAAGGGCTTAAGAGACGAAGGAAGTGCGTGTCTTGCAGACTAGGTAGGCTTTTGGGACATTTCATATTTCCCTTATTGGGTTTAAGAGGATCATATTCAGGCATCCTAAACCCTAAACCCTAAACCCTAAACCCGAGCCCCCATTTTTTTAAGAGGGCCTCAAGGGCCATCCTAGCCGAGTGCTCGGCTGAAGAGCCTCAAGCACAGCCAAGGCTCAGCATTGTGGAGGACCGCGGTTTAGGGTTTGGGGTTTAGAGTTTAGGGTTTAGGGTTTCGGGGGGGCTCAACCTGAAAGCCGACAGAATCCTAATCTCGAGATGTTCCCCCAAAAACTAACAGCTCCTTAATAGGGATTATAGTACCCCTATTATACTCCCAATGAAGGACTGCTAGTATAAGGGGGGATCATCCCAATCCTAATCTCAGGTTGCTGGCATCGAGGTCTCAGATTTCGGACGGACCTCCAGAATCGAACAGCTTCAATTCAAGACGTGTCAACTCTGTTAAGCGCGCATCTGCCAGGACCGAACCCAGCGCATGAGCAAGTGAGTGTGGGCGCATCAGACTTCAGGGAGCAGTGGCATAAAAAATGGGTTCCCCTAAACCCTAAAACCCTAAAACCCTAAACCCTACAACCCTAAAACCCTAAACCCCTAAACCCTGAACCCTAATGAAGCCCTGACCCGAAGTCCGCTCCGAGCCAGGAGAGAACTTAGGGTGCTCGTGCTTCTATCATGCACAAGCTTGCGCCCTAAACCCTAAACCCTAAACCCTAAACCCTAAACCCTAAACCGTGGGCATCTTAAGGGATCTCAGGCACCGGTGGCTTGTCCCAGTTCCCGGCTCCTCTTTAAACAACCTCCAGGTCACCTGGTCCTCTGGTCTCTAAGGGCATGGTTCGATGCTCAGCAGGCCTGAATATGTAAACCCCCCCGAAACTCACAACCTTAGTCCCCAGGCTCATGGGCGCTAGTCGTTGGAGTTTTGAACTGCTACACCCCGCCAAAAAGTTCCGGTTAGACGGAGGATACCGAGCTGGGACCCCACCAGGGTGCACTCAGCAGGTTTGTTGTGTTGGGTTTCGGGGCTGTGCAAACGCCCAAACTCCTCCCCCCCCCCCCCCCCCCTGCTCCCAGCTGCCCTAACAACTCCCTAACTGGGTCATTGTGTTGAAATCATGTCGCATTTTTATGAATACGTAAACCCAATAAGGAACAAAATAGATATTTCTAATGGTACCCCAACAATGGTGCAGCTAAACCCCTAAACCCTAAACAAGCTGGTGAGACCAGGCCACAGGTACTTGGCCCGGTTGAAGCGTTCTGGCCCGGACAGCTTGTGGATATTGCGATCCTGACCTCCTGGGAACCACCAACACACAACATCATTTCCTGGGTGTTGGAGTACTCTGCTTTAACATGTTTTTGGGGTTCTGGGTTCCTACTATAGCTACTTCTACCCAGAAGTGTATACCTTTTTTCCAGGGTCTACTCCAAAGTAGGGTTTCTAAACTCGGACCCAGCGATTCAAGGTTAGACGCTGCATCCAAATCCAGCAGCAAGCTGGCCCGAAACCCCTCGTTTCCACAGACCCCCCCCCCCCGCCCCCGCCTCCGCCTATAGCCGTGGGCCGAGCTTAACCGGGGATCCAACCCTCATGGTTTGTTTAGGGTTTAGGGTGTGGGCCTGAACCCAAAACCCTAAACCCTAAACCCTACTCCCTAGAAGCCTAAACCCCATCGAACCCCTAAAGCCAACGTCGCCGACCCTTGTGGTTTAAAGCTCACGAATCCAAACCATCAACCACCCCCCCAATTCCTAAAGTTCCTAGACCCAAATCCCGTCTCAAACCTTAAGCCCTAAACCTTACACCCAAACCCTAAACCCTGAATCCTAAACCCTAAACCCTAAACCCTAAACCCTAAACCCTAAACCCTAACCACTAAACCCTAAACCCTGAACCCTACTAAACCCTACTAAACCCTACTAAACCCGACTAACCTCGACTAAACCCTACTAAACTCGACTAAACCCTACTAAACCCTACTAAACCCTACTAAACCCTACTAACCTCTAAACCCTGCTAAAGCCTACTCAACCCTACTAAACCCTACTAAACCCTACTAAACCCTACTAAACCCTACTAAACCCTACTAAACCCTACTAAACCCTACTAAACCCTACTAAACCCTACTAAACCCTACTAAACCCTACTAAACCCTACTAAACCCTACTAAACCCTACTAAACCCTACTAAACCCTACTAAACCCTAAACCCTAAACCCTAAACCCTAAACCCTAAACCCTAAACCCTAAACCCTAGCCGATCTCGTAGCTCCCTTCGCATCCTCTGGGACCGGCGAATTCGCTGAGATGTCCCGAGATGGGAGGCACCAGGCTGGGCTCCGGCTTCGATGCACCGCGGTTTAGGGTTTAGGGTCTAGGGTCTAGGGTGCCAGATGCCTTCCGAATGCTTCATATTCTCTTGGTAGCCCGGTGGTGCCCCTTTCCCTGTTTTTGGTTCAAGGTTCCCTAATCAAGCAACCAACCCCAAAAGGGTGGTTAGTGGGCTATCAAGTTATGCTTCAGAATGCTTCAGGCTTTGAGTTTTGGGGGTTTGCATGTACGGCGAGCTTGTGATCAGAATACCTGAGAACGTTGATCAAAGAGATGACGGATGCATTATCGTGGGGTTCTGGAGTGCAAAGCTGATATCAGTCTGAATTTAAAAAAAAACCTTCTGAGGCTAGGATGTTAAGTTAGGTCCGGGGTACTGCTCCTCCCAGAGACTCTTGCAGGGTAGAAGATGCCGTCTGACTGCCAGTACCCCGATCTCCCTAAACCCTAAACCCTCAACCCCTCGCTGCCTTCTTTGCTGTTTGTGTTGTCGTCTTGCCGGGCCCGTGAACCTTAAACCTCGAACCGACAAGCCCAGAGCCGCATTGTTCTGGAGTTTGCCTGCCTCGACACCCTAGCAGTTGAAAACTGAGAAGTTCTAAACCTCAACCCCTAAACCCAAAACCCTTAACCCATAAACCCTCAAAGCCTTAAACCCTCAAACCCTTAAACCCTAAAACCCTTAAACCCTTAAACCCTAAACCCTGTAAACCCTAAGCCCTGAGCTTATGCAGGCCGCCCTTGCAAAACGCGAAGAAGCTTGTGATCCAGCACCTTTGGTTGCAGAAGATGCCAAGTGGCGCTGAACTACTATTTGCTTAAGAAGCCCCAAGCAATTTAGGGTTTGGGGTTTAGGGTTTAGGGTTTAGGCTGCGGTAGGGTCTTGGGACATTTTTACATTTTCCCTTAGTGGGTTTATAAGAGTCTCATATTTGGGAATATTTTAAGGGGGCCTTTAAGGGCCATCCTTTTTGCTTAAGAAGCCCCACAATTTTTAGATAATAACCCCTATATTGCCCTTGCAAGGAATTGTATATATATATATATACATAATAGTCACTACGGTTCGCTGAGGAAGCCCCCAAAATATCAATGAGAATAATTCCTGTATTGCTCTTACAGGGAAGAAAATTTTGGTTTCTAGTTTGTGCTTTTCTTTCGGGGGGGTTCTTAGTTCTTAAGCAAATTAGTATTGGTTACCCTAAACCCTAAACCCTAAACCCTAAACCCTAAACCCTAAACCCTAAACCCTAAAGGACATGTGCGAAGCTGCGAGGCAGACGGCCTCCATCAGTGCGCTCACGCGCCGCAGCCAGTGGCCGGCGGACGAAGAGTTCAGCCTAAACCCTAAACCCTAAACCCTAAACCCTAAACCCTAAACCCTAAACCCTAAACCCTAAACCCTAAACCCTGAGCCCTAAACTTAGGGCTGAGGGCCGGCCTAAACTCGAGACCTTTATTCCCAGATCTGTTGGCGATGCCCCTGGATTTTCGGTGTTTCGCACGCTTTAGGAATCAGGGATTCCCTCCATCCTAGAATTCCTGCACGCCGAACCCTAAACCCTAAACCCTAAACCCTAAAGAACAAGTCCCCTCCGCCCTAGACTTCGCAGTCCACACCCTAATGTGCTCCCAGGTGAGCTCCTGAGCTGTGAACCCCGGAACCCTACCCCTGTAAAAGCCCTGGAGCCCTAAACCCTAAACCCTAAACCCTAAACCACAGCTGGAGGTCCCTTGCACTCCGTCGCTTTGGAGCCGCTTTTGGCGAAGGAGGCAGCGGCCCACAACTTTGGTGGATTTTGGGGTTCAGGGTTTAGGGTTTAGGGTTTAGGGTTTAGGGTTTAGGGTTTAGCGGTTCAGGCTTTGGGTCTTGCAGGCTTGCGGGGTTGTAGGATATGGTGGTTTTTCGGGGTTTGGTGCTTCAAGGTTGCTGGATTCTAGTGTTCAAGGGCTAGGGTTGTCTGGCCCAAGATTTCCGAGTTTATGTCTTTCAGCTCATGAGGCCGGGGTTGAGTCGTGGAGGGTTTAGGGTTTCGGGTTTAGGGTTTAGGGTTGAGGGTTTGCAGGTTTCAGGTTCAGATGTCATGGCTCTGAGATGTACGGTCTTCGGGCTCCAGGGCGTCATCGTGTATGCCCTAAGCCCTAAACCCTAAACCCTAAAAGCCCTAAATGGTTCTGGGCATCGGTCAGAAAGAGGCCAACAACTGAAGCCCACAGCTGCTTGGGCTTCAGTGTTGTGTAAAGCCTAAACCCTAAACCCTAAACCTTTGGAGGGTTTGGCTGCTTCGTCTCGAGGGGCACTTGGTTTAGAAGTTCTGGGCGCCCTAGAAACTCTATAGCTTGGGATGTTCCCCCTATACTAAATGTCCTGAATAGGGGTTCTAGTACGGCTATAATCCCGATTAAGGACTGTTTAGCATAAGGGGGAACATCCCAATCAAAATGTATGTTTGCATATTTCTATAGAGAAGAAAGTACATTATGAGACCACAATGACCGCAAAGCCCCGAAACCCTAAACCCTAAACCCTAAATGTGTCCAGCTCTCCCCTGAACACGGGATGCCTTAACGCCTCGAGAAGCCGAAGCTTGACAAGGATGACAACCCTTAACCCTAAACCCTAAACTTTACCCTAAACCCTAAACCCTAAACCCTAAACCCTAAACGCTATCCCCCAAGTTCAAAACCTTAAGGTCTGGTCATGGATGCGCCTGCTCTTGGTACTGGTCTCACTGCTTGCGCCAAAGGGGCGCAGTGGGCGCAGGTGTCTGGACGCAGGGGCTGAGAAATAGTGAGGGTTTAGGGTTTAGGGTTCAGGGTTCAGGGTTTAGGGTTTAGGGTTTAGGGTTTCGGTTTTAGGGTTTAGTAGTTTGGGGTTGAAGGGTTTCAGAAGGGGTGGTTCAGCCCGGAGTTCATCACTCTTAGGACAGGCAGTCGGTGAGTGCCGGATGACGTGAAATCTGGGGTTCCAAGTGCAAGCAATGAGTTCGACAGAGTTTGTCAAGTAACACAAGACAAGTCCCTTAAGCCCTAGCCCCGTAAACTCGAGACCTGCAAGCGTTCTGCTGCGCCAGCAGCTCAACCTTTCACCCGCGCCAGCCGTCACCTCCAGCTGAAGCCTTCCGGCCCTAAACCCTAAACCCTAAACCCCAAACCCCAAACCCTAAACCCTAAACCCTAAACCCTGAACCCAGCTGCCTGACAGCTTGTGGCCAGGCCTTACATCTCTACACGACCTCCGCGGTGGCAAATGCGGCTTGCTTCGGAGCCCTTGGGGCATACCAGTGAACCGTGGGCCCCGCGTCGTAACACCTCTCCACAATTTTTGTTACTTCCCTCGTCAGCTATATCCCAAGAGAGAAGAAGAGCGCATGAAGGGCGAAGCCCTCCTAGATTCTTCAAGACTCCGATCTTGGCTATGGAGCCCCAATCCCAAACGACGGGGTCTTCTACATCTCCTTCGAAGCAAGTTACTCAGGGCGGGGGGGGGGGGGGGCCAGGGCCACAGTTTAGGGTTTAGGGTTTAGGGTTTAGGGTTTAGGGTATCATCCCACAGGAGCCCTTCTCAATGCTTTCGCGGCGGCCGCGCGGTGGCGCGAGGCGTCCATGCCATGCCGAGCTAGTGCGAGGCTTTTGACGGCTTCTGGCTTAAGCTGGACATCGCAGCTTTAGCGGTTCAGGCTTTCTAGGGCTCAGGGACTAGCGAAGGCCAAGGTTTTGGGAGTTACTAGAGTGACTTTTTTGCTTAATTGAAAAAGAGGAGCACAGCCTCTGTTGAAGCAGGCTCCCTTCTTCCGAAAAGTAGATTTGCTCCGGTGGCGTGTTTTGCGAACCAGTGCTTCGGATTTTAGGGGTCTCGCGGGCTTCGGGAAGTCTTAGGTGTGTTGGGATCAGCAGGCCATGGGCTGTAATATAAGGGTCGGAAGATTTACTAAGAAGATTTTCCCTATGGTCCCTTTATAAGTATACTTTAATGAACCCCCAAAACCCTATTCTACTAATTAAGGCCCCTAAACCCTAAACGCTAAACCCTAAACCCTATTCCCTAAACCCTGAACCATTACAGCTGTCAGTCTTCCAAGCTTCGCTGTTGCTCTAGCCGCGTTCGCGCGTGCGCAGGCCCTCGCATCTCTCGCAGCCGCGAAGGACCTGCTTTTTGCCAGGCGCTGTAGGAGTAAGTGTCTGGGTAACCCTAAACCCTAAACTCTAAACCCTGAACCTTGAAGCCTAAACCCTAAGTCCCTAAAACCCTAAAATCCTAAACCCGAAACCCTAAACCCTAAACCGCCCGAGACTTCAGGGCCTGGACTTGAGGGCTGGCCAGGCCGATGGAACAACATCCACTTCCTGCTTTCGGCTTCTAGGCCCATAAACTCGCACCCACAGGAGGCCCATATTCACTTTGTTTAGGGTTTAGTGTCTTTTTTTTAGGGTTTCGGGTTCGGGGTTTTTGGGCTACCCGGAGGAGGCCCTTATTCCTTTCTTCCTAGGGTCCCATAAAAGCCCCTTTTCAACCAAAAAAGGGCAGCCTTTCTATTCCTAGGCTGCTCTTGCCCTTATTCCTTTTTTTTTTTTTTTGGGGGGGGGGGGGGGGGGGGTTAGGTTCCCTTATAAACCCCTTTTTAGCAAAATGGTCACCCTTTTATTCCTAGGTTGCTGGGCAGCCTAGACATTCTTCAGAACAAACTGTCTCAAGAAGGAGCCTGACATTGTGGCGTTCAACGTGTCCATCAACGCCTGCCGCGTGCTCAGGGCTTCTATCTCGCCTCCGAAACCTTACATGAACGATTCGCCTTTTCCTTTATCACAGCTTTGTGATGGAGACTTCCTTGGTTCATGGAGAGCATGCACATAGACCTGAGGCCTCTGCAAGGTAAGGGTGTGGAGTTGGGGCGCCCTAGCGTTCCTACAGTCTAAGCTGCCTGAAGATTCTCTAAACCTAACTCCTTATACCCTAAACCCTAAACCCTCAACCCTAAACCCTAAACTTATAGGGCTTAGGATTTAGGGCCTGAGATGCAGCCATCCTCAAAGGTAGGGTTTAGGGTTTAGGGCTTAGGGATCACCAACACCACCCAAGAAATACTAAGCAACTACGATGATGCCGTGCCTGATAGCTCTGAATCCTAACCGCCTGGACGCGGAAAGTTCCGAAGCTCCCAGACAGGGTCACCAAAAGCTATTAGAATCTAGTGTTCCGGTCCATACCGTGACCCTAGATGCTGATCCAGCCTCAATCCTAAAATAGAGTTCGAGGGAGACTCCTGATAGTCCGTGCTCGATTTTTTGGGGTTGGAGCTTGGGAACAAGGGCAGAGTTCGACACCTTCGGATTTGGGAGTCAGATTTGGATTTGGGATATCCTCCTGCCCGAAGCCCAAGGCCCTGAACCTGAAGTCCTTACCCCAGATGCCCATAGACCCGAAACGCTCGAATGTGTGGCCCGAGGGTTTAGCTACTTCTCCTCGACCACTGAGCCAGCCAAACCCACCCCTAAACCCAAACTCCTAAACCCTAAACCCCAAACCCCAAACCCTAAACCCCTCAAGCCTAAACCTCAAGCCTAACCCCAAATCCTAACCCCCCCTGACCTTCGAGGCACCCGAGCTGCTGCGTGGCCCGGTGCTCTGGCGCTGTTCGCCGAAGTGGAGGCCCGCAGGCCACGTGGTGCAGGGATGGGGGGGGGGGGGGGGTTGGGGTTTGATACAGGGGCTCGGAAGAATTGCTAGAAGTCTTCCCCTCTGGCAGCTTTTAGAAAATATAATTACTGTAATCACCTAGATTTTGGGGGTTTGTTGGGTCCATAAGGGTTCGGGTTTAGGATAGGGCACTTGCAAGTGCGGCTCAGAGTTTCGGAATGTCACAGGGCCTCTCTCGGCTAAACCCCGCACTCCCAAATTGTTGCGCTTGCTTCTGGAGCAGGGATTCAATGCAGGCTGCAGGCGGTCTGCTTGCCCCTGGCCCTCGGGGGCGTGTCGACTCTTTGGCGCTTTACTGTAACCTTAGATCCTTAGCCTTTTCGGGTTTATTGGGTTTCTTAATAAGGCAGCTAAACATTAAATCTAGGATGCCCAGTAGCACCCTTATTCCCTTTTTGGGGGGGTCTAGGTTCCCTTATGAACCCCTTTAAGCAAAAAAGGGCACCCTTTTTAAGCCTTGGTTACTGGGCAGCCTAGAAATTTACAGCTACCCTGCTAAGTGCAGCCAAGAAGCTGGATGCTCAGTGGCTATGATGCCATGTGGCCTCGACAAACCCTGTCTGTAAGAAGGGCAATGCTGCCAGCAGGGTTTTGGGTTTAGGGTTTAGGGGCCTGCAAGACAGCTCCAACAAGCAGGCCATTTAGAAGCAGGTCTGTTCGGTTTCGGCGTTCGTTTGGTTCAGAGTAGAGGAAGGCGCTTCAGCAGTTTAAGAACTCTTTGCTTGCGGGCTGAAGACCGTACATACCAGACAAAGAGAAGCACGGCTTCTTTGTTTTGTTTAAGCAACTGTCGACGCGGAAGCCCCTACAACGATGTGCCCCCTTCGGCAGCTTGCCGGCCACGAGCGTCACCTTCAACTCCACGGCGACCGCCTGCAGGGTCCCCAGATTCGCCTGAAGAGAGTGTCGACGAGAACCGAGGAGCTTTGTTGTCGTCCCTAAACCCTAAACCCTAAACCCTAAACCCTAAACCCTAAACCCTAAACCCTAAACCCTAAACCCTAAACCCTAAACCCTAAACCCTAAACCCTAAACCCTAAACCCTAAACCAAACGGAGTTCAGGAAGGCCAGGGGCTTGCAAGGACTGACACTGAGCCACCTCTCAAAACCCGTCCAGACTCTGCAAGACGTGAGGCCCTAATATATAGGGGTCGCGACATTTACTAATAGTGTTCCCTTATGGTCGCTCTAGAAAATATACTCTAATAACACCCCCCCCCCCCAAAAAAAAAAAAATAAAATAGAAATAGAAATAAAATAACAAAATAATAAATGAAATAAATAAGTAAAACCGTAAGCCCCTAACCTTCCTGAACCCTGAACCCTGAACCCTGAACCCTGAACCCTGAACCCTGAACCCTAACCCTAAACCCTAAACCCTAAACCCTAAACCACTTTTTTAAAGCATCCGAAGCTCCCTGACGCTCAGCTGGCCGAGGCTTGCGAGGGAGTCTTTGGAGCGTGGCCATGGACCTCGCGCGCCGCGGCGAGGAAGCAGAGGAGGGAGGCACGTGAACCTCGTTTAGGGTTTAGGGTTTAGGGTTTAGGGTTTAGGGTTTAGGGTTTAGGGTTTAGGGTTTAGGGTTTAGGGTTTAGGGTTGGGGAGGTTGAGGTGGTAGAGCCCAGAGGACTCAGAGTTCAGGAATGTTCAGGGCTTCGGGTTTGAAGGCTTAAGGTGCAAACAATGGTAACTAAAACCAAGGTCTCTCCTATCATGAGGGCGCAGGGCCGGGTGGGGTGTCACGGTGTCACGGTCTCCCCTGGTCGTTTAGGGTTTAGGGTTTAGGTCCGCTGCTGCTCTACAATGCCTACCTACCATGCGGATTTAGGGTTTAAGGTTTAGGGTTTAGGGTTTATTAGGGTCTATTTGGGGAGGTGTTTCTGTTGGTATGGGCCTTTTGGCCAGGAACCAGCCTCGCGACGCTGGGAGCATCACTGGCCTCGTGTGAGCGGGCCAATCGATGGGACCAGGCGTCGTTTTGGTGCAGGGCTGTGGCTTTCCGGGTTCGGGTCCCAAAGAGCCCAATATCCCTTAGTTAGGGAATATATGCTTAATTTATGTAGGGATGCTTAATATGGATTAATAAGGTATATTCCTTAGTTAAGGGGTATTGGGCTCTCCGGGTGCGGGTGCACCAAACCTTAAACCCTGCCGTACCTTGGCGAGGCATCTACCTTGAGAAGACAAGTGAAGGGCTGCAACTCTAAGACTTAAAACCCTGAATCCCGCAGGCCATGTGGTTGCTCTACAAGGCCCAGTCCGCCGGCGGCTGGGCTCCTTGGCATGGGATTCTGTACTAGTTGGACGGTAGTAGTGGAGTGGCAGTGGCTGCAATGTAGTAGTACTCGTACTCGTCGTCGCCGTCGTCGCCGTCGCCGTCGCCGTCGCGTTGCCGTCGCCGTCGTCGTCGCCGTTGTCGTCGTTGTCGTCGTCGTCATCATACTGGTCGTAGTAGGCGTAGTGGCGTAGTAGTAGTCAGTAGTAGTAGTCAGCAGTAGTAGTCAGTAGTAGTAGCAGTAGTAGTAGTCAGTAGTAGTAGCAGTAGTAGTAGTAGTAGTAGTAGTAGTAGTAGTAGTAGGAGTGGAAGTAGGAGTAGCGTAGTAGCAGTAGCAGTAGCAGTAGCAGTAGCAGTAGCAGTAGCAGTAGCAGTAGCAGTAGCAGTAGCAGTAGCAGTAGCAGTAGCAGTAGCAGTAGCAGTAGCAGTAGCAGTAGCAGTAGCAGTAGCAGTAGCAGTAGCAGTAAGCAGTAGCAGTAGCAGTAGTAGTAGTAGTAGTAGTAGTAGTAGTAGTAGTAGTAGTAGTAGTAGTAGTAGTAGTAGTAGTAGTAGTAGTAGTAGTAGTAGTAGTAGTAGTAGTAGTAGTAGTAGTAGTAGTAGTAGTAGTAGTAGTAGTAGTAGTAGTAGTAGTAGTAGTAGTAGTAGTAGTAGTAGTAGTAGTAGTAGTAGTAGTAGTAGTAGTAGTAGTAGTAGTAGTAGTAGTAGTAGTAGTAGTAGTAGTAGTAGTAGTAGTAGTAGTAGTAGTAGTAGTAGTAGTAGTAGTAGTAGTAGTAGTAGTAGTAGTAGTAGTAGTAGTAGCAGTAGCAGTAGCAGTAGCAGTAGCAGTAGCAGTAGCAGTAGCAGTAGTAGCAGTAGTAGTAGTAGTAGTAGTAGTAGTAGTAGTAGTAGTAGTAGTAGTACGAGTAGTAGTAGGAGCAGCAGGAGCAGCAGGAGCAGCAGGAGCAGGAGGAGCAGGAGGAGCAGGAGGAGCAGGAGGAGCAGGAGGAGCAGGAGGAGGAGGAGCAGCAGCAGCATTCACGATATTGAAAATAGTAGAAATTAGGCCTAGCTGAGATGCGACGTGTCGGTGCACCTCCATAGTACCTCCATGTTGGAAAAGGGGATCTCGAAGCGCAGGAACAGAATTGAAACAGCTGAAAAACAAGACGCTCGAGCATGGATCTTCGCCACTACGGAAAAGGAGCCTTACCAGGATGGGCAGGATGGGCTACTATACCCTCTAACCCGTTAAGAAGGCCCTTGATAGGGTTCATTATGAGGATTTTAAGGCCTACTAGCCCATCCTGGTAATCACCAACCTCTCATACGTTCTGAGCCCCAGCTCTTCTGATCCTAAACCCTAAACCCGAAACCCGAAACCCTAAACCCTAAACCCTAAACCCTAAACCCCAAACCCTAAACCCTAAACCCTAAACCCTGAGGATGTTGCAGCCGGCGGGTCGGCCGTGGCCAGCTGCGGTGCATTGCAGTGGGCGCAGGAACGGTGGAGTTGAGTTTTAAGGTGGTTTAGGGTTTTAGGGTTTAGGGTTTTAGGGTTTAGGGTTTAGGGTTTAGGGTTTAGGGTTTAGGGTTTAGGGTTTAGGGTTTAGGGTTTAGGGTTTAGGGTTGTTGTAGTTCGGGGGTTTGTAAAACTTTTGAGGCTTGGTGTTCGCTGGTGCCGCTCTACCCTAAAACCCTAAAACCCGAAACCCTACATCCTAAGCCCTTAAACTTCAATCATCCTCTCACCCTAAGCCCTAAACCTGAACCCTAAACCCTCCACCCTCAACCCTAAACCGCCGTGCCCTTCACACCAGGCCCTGTCACTCTTTGAGACCTTCAGCAACCTTGGTTTGGTGGACCATGCCGCCGACTGAGACTGGCAGTATTTCTTGGGATGTTCCCCCTTTATACTAGCAGTCCTTCAGAGGGATTATCATAGGGGATAGCAAAAATCCCTATTAAGGACTGTATAAGGCCCCTTATACTAACAGTCCTGAAGAAGGATTATAGCAGGGCATACCAGAATCCCTATTACTTGTAGGGACTGTATATGGGGGGAACATCCCAAAGTATTTTGCTCATGCTTCCGGCGTGGGGGGGTTCTTTGAACCCAGCTCTGACATGGATGAACTCTCCAGGGTCCAGGGGTGTGCTCGAAAAGAAGCCCCAAACCTCAGCCCCTCCGGCCTTTAGGATGGCAACGGTGTTTGGGGTTTAGGGTTTAGGGTTTAGGGTTTAGGGTTTAGGGTTTAGGGTTTAGTAGGGGATACTTTATGGGCTGCAAGGTCACATCCTTGTGCCCGAGCCCAGTACCTGGACCAACAAGCAACGCAGGTCACCCGCACCAGTGCGGTAACTGTATGCCGCCGAGCCTGGCAGTGGCGACTCTGAGGCAGTTTTGGGTTTAGGTTCTAGGGTTTTAGGGTTTAGGGTGTAGGGTTCAGGGTTTAGGGTTTAGGGTTTAGGGTTTGGGGTGATTTTGGGAAGCGCTTGGGAGAGTTCGAAGGGTTTTCTACGACCCTTAGGGCCGTCAGTTTTGGGGCCAGGGTAGGACTCAACAGGCTTCATGCTGTGGGCATGGGGCTGCGGGATCAAGACCCTTCAGAATTCAAAATTTTTATTTTGAGCATCCCTATATTGACTGTAGTGTTGAGCATCCCCCGATGGTGTTGAAGATGTTGTTGCCTAGGGCTTTGCGATGAGGATTGAGGGTTGAGCTAGCTATTTGTCAGGCTTCTGTGTGGGTCGACATCTGGTAGTGTGTGTGTGTGTGTGTGTGTGTCTGTTAGTGTTCATTAAAATGAGGGGCTTAGAGGGCCCCCCCCCCCCCCCCCCCCTGGCCACCAAACTCTCAAATCTCCCAAAGAATCGCTCGAACTGGCAGGTGGCTTAGGTTGGGATGTTCCTCCTTATATCTTTATCATAGTGGGGTAACATTTTACATTTTTAAGGGCACTTAAACTCAATAAGGAATAAAATCTTAAAGTTTTATTGCTATCCCAACTATGAACCAGATAGTATATACTAGCAGTCCTTGTATTCCAGGACTGTTAGACAAAGGGGAATCTTCCCCAAGGTACGCAACAAATTAAGGGCGCACACTTGGAACCCTACAAACCCTACAAACCCTGAACCCTTAACCCTTAACCCTTTTATGTGGTTTAGGCAAGGCTTCGGGGTTTTAACACCCGAGGCGCGCCGCTGCGGCCTTGGTGACCACCACAGACCCAGCAACGGCGGCCCTTGGTGTGGAAGTTTGCGAGGCTCCCGAGTTCCCGGTTGTTATAAGTTATAACTGTATATATATATATATATATAAACAAACAAACAAACAAACAAACAAATAAATAAACAGATAAGTAAATAGAAACATTAATAGAAATACGTAAATAAGTAAATACAAGATATCTATATATATATATACATACATATATATATATATATACATACACAGTTTCGTTTTTCTTTTTCGCGGCAGGAGGGGAGGGGGGGGGAGGGGGGGGCAGTTCGGAGTTCTTCTTGGGGTCCAGATTGGGGGGGGGGGGGGGGGGGGGGGTATTTGAGATTCGGAGGGTTTCATGTTGAGCATGGTGTGAGGAGATGGGTTGAGGACTCAAAAGCCTTCCTGGCACCAAGATGCTTCAGGATGTCAGACTCTCTTTGGTTCAGGGTTGTAAGGGTTAAGGGTTAAGGGTTAAGGGTTAAGGGTTTAGGGTTTAGGGTTTAGGGTTTAGGGTTTAGGGTTTAGGGTTTAGGGTTTAGCCCAGGGGTCGGCTCGCCAGACGCTGTAAACTGCAGATGAGGGGTTGTCTGCTATTTGCTTAAGAACCCCCACCCTCAAGAAGCAAAAGAACATTCTTCCTTATAAGGGCAATGTAGGCATTATCATCTTTGACTTTTTGGGGCTTCTTAAGCAAATACTAGTTCTGGCTTAGGGTCCAGGTTGAGATCAGAAAACTGAGCCAGCAGGGAAGAAGAGGGGCGCAATCATCTTAGTAGGGCAGCTGTTATCGAAGGCTCCCCGAGAAAGTTGAGGCCCTGAACCTTCTAGGCCAAGGTCCGAGGCCTACGGCCTCGAACCCTTACTAGGTAGCCCTCTTGGGACATTTTTATATGTTCCCTTAAATGGGTTGAAGAGGATCATGCCTCAGGACTGTTCTTCAGAGGGTCTTATGGGCTAGGAAACCTTGCCTTACTTCCATACGCCCATAAACCCCCAAGCCCTTAAAAACCTCGACATCGCTACCTTCAAACCCTAAACCCTAAAGCCCAAACCTTAAACCCTAAACCCTAAACCCTGAACCCTAAACCCTAAACCCGAAACCCTAAACCCTAAACCCTAAACCCTAAACCCTAAACCCTAAACCCTAAACCCATCCTTTGAAAGGCAGCCATGGCTCCCGGCTGCCGGCAGAGGCCAGCCTTCCACTTTCCTCCCATTTACTGTAGGAGCCTAAACCCTAAACCCTAAACCCTAAACCCTAAACCCTAAACCCTGAATAATTTGAATTGGGTTCTGGGGGCCATTATGGTATAACTACAAAGGCCCTAGAAGGGAATATGATTAGTAGCCTTTCCGAACCCCTATAGTAGGGTGTAGGGCCAACTCGACTGCCGGGGCACGTTTGCGATAGATTGGACGAGTTCAGTAGTGTTCAACCAAGTTGATCTGGGGCGTTAAAATCACCCTAAATTTGCCAATCGCTGGTTAGTTACACAAGTTATTTCACTTGGCCAGCGTTAAACCTTAAGTAAACACTAAACTGTTTCTAGCAGCCGATCTTCGCTGTTCTGTCTCCGCTTGGTTTGAGTCTTCCTCTAGGCTCCGTAGTTTAGGGGCAGCTTTAAACATGTTGGACGATTCCATCACAGCATGCTATTCTGCATGTAGTTCAACTAAGTTGAGTTACTTGTCGTTAGCCATCACCTAGAATCAAGAAAGCATCCTTTGCCTTTGATTCATGTATACGTTTCAGCTCATGTCAGGCTTTTGTACCAAGGTCTTTCAGTTTTATTGGATACCCGATTTCGCTCGTACTCATATGTTTCTATCATCTCCTGCAATGATGCAATGTCTGGAATTCGCCATAGCATCACTACCTGAAACCTTCGCACACCATACCGCACTGCAATGACTCTCTAAGCTTGACCGGAAAGCCTTCAGTTGCGCCTACATCTGGGGACATCCCCCCTTGTTCTAAGAGTCCTTCATCCGGATGATAGTGCCCCCTACTAGAATCCCTACTAAGGACTGTTAGTATAAGGGGGAACATCCCAACCTTCATCTTCCCCCCCCCCCCCGCTCCCCCTCCCGACGCCCCGCACAAATCAGGCTCCAGCACGGTCTCTTCAATGCTCTGGCCGACATCGCCAAGGACCCAGGTGGCGGCTTAGGGTTTAGGGTTTAATTGGGGTTTAGGGTTTAATTAGTGTTTAGGGTTTAGGGCTACAAGAAGTTGTGGTACGGAGGAGATTGTGTAGCTGTTCGCCATCAGGTGTGTTGCCGGCTCCGATAAACCGCAAGGTTTTGAACCCTAAAAGCTCGGAAGGGTTTGTTGTGGCGACCTCCTCCAACCCAAAACCTCGGGCCCTAAACCCTAAACCCTAAACCCTAAACCCTAAACCCTTAACCCTTAACCGTTGTGGTGGTCTCCAGAAAGAGCTCCTCGCGGCTCAGAGTTGGCACTTGGGGTTCGTTTCTTTAGGCTTGGGGGTGTCGCTATCTTGGTGTTTCGAATCTAAGTGATTTAGGTTGAGGGTTTTAGGGTTTAGGGTGTAGGGTTTAGGGTTTAGGGTTGAGGGTTGAGGGTTTAGGGTTTGGGGTTTAGGCCCTCCCCCCCCCCCAACATACTTGAGTCCTGGACTTTGGGCTGGTACACTTTTTGTTGGGGGGTCCATCATGGCACTGGAAAATGTCGTTTGGGGACTGAGCATTTCCCACCTGCTCCGCTCGTATGTTGCTCTTAGACCTCCGTCTTAGTCAGACTGCTAGTGGACAAGGTTGGAGAGATCTAGGAATCGACGATGCAGCTGTCAACCCCGAAGCCGCACACATCTCAGGTGTTGATCCTAACTGTGCGTGAAACGTTGCATCAGCCCCAAGTATATCTTACAATCATCATAATGATAATACTAACAAACAAGAATCATGATAATCATAATAATAATAAGGATAGCAAGATTAATAGTACAGCAGGTCCTTCGATTTCAGTCTGTTTTTTCTTCTCTCGGAAAACAGGTGCCATCCGCTATGGCGAGCTGGTGCCAGCCTCCGGTGTCTTATCACTGGGTTCGACCCCCGGGCGCAAGGAGAAGAGAGGGCCCAAAGGGCCCTAAACCACGAAGAACCACGACCGCAACAACCCTGGGATTGAATACCCAAAGACAAGATAACCTACGAAGCGGCCATTCCTCCCCCCCCCCCCCCCCCCCCCAAACCATAAACCCTAAACCCTAAACCCTAAACCCTAAACCCTAAACCCTAAACCCTGAACCCTAAACCCTAAACCCTAAGCGTCTCAGGATCTTGGGGGACCAGCGCTTGCTGGACCGCCGCATCTACGCAGTGGTGGAGAGTGCTCTGCGCAAGTCGCGCGGCGTGCATCAGCGTTTCGGGGTTTAGGGTTTTAGGGTTAGGGTTTAGGGTTTAGGGTTTAGGGTTTAGGGTTTAGGGTTTAGGGTTTAGGGTTTAGGGTTTAGGGTTTAGGGTTTAGGGTTTAGGGTTTAGGGTTTAGGGTTTAGGGTTTAGGGTTTAGGGTTTAGGGGTATTTGGCGTTCGCTTTCTTAGACTACGATCCTCAAGGCGAAGCCTAGTGCAGCCTAAGCCCGGCTTTGTCGGTGTTCACTTCCTCAGATCACGTGAGAATTATCACTCTGCACCCCCAACTCAAGGACCTTCTGCCAAGCCCCCTAAACCCTAAACCCTAAACCCTAAGCCCTAAGCCCTAAACCCTAAACCTAAAGGCCTTCAAAGCCGAAACTCAAAAGCCATCTTCTTCGAGGCCAGGCACGGAGACTGCGAAGCACCGGAGCCTGCTGGCAGAGGCCCGTTTCGGGGGGTTTAGGGTTTAGGGTTTAGGGTTTAGGGTTTAGGGTTTAGGGTTTAGGGTTTAGGGTTCTGCAGGGCAGCTTCGGTGTGCTCATTGCGTTCCCTTGCCGTCAAACCCCAAGAACCAGCGAAGATGTCCTGCGCCCGACTTCCACATGTTCCATGGGCGTGGCTGTTTAGGGTTTAGGGTTTAGGGTTTAGGGTTTAGGGTTTAGGGTTTAGGGTTTAGGGCTTGGGGAAGAGAGGGGGGGGTTTCAGGCCTGGGTCTTACAGAATGCATCGTTGGTTGCGCATGTTCAGGATGACAGGCCTAGGAGTCACACTGATCCTTACAATGTGAACCACGGACTTATATAGGGGTCGGAATATTTACTAATAGTGTTCCCTTATAGTCCCTTTTTAGGTATACTACAACAACCCCTCAAAACCCTATTCTTACTCTTAAGGCGCCTAGAATATCCCTTGTGTGGTCTATCAGTTTAGAGGTGCAGCCATACACCACCTGCCGCCTGCCAGTCTCGACCGCACTCTACCTGCGCGCTGGGGTTTCTCACCATGTCGACGCTAGGAATTCCGAGGTAGGACAAGGAAGACCCTTAAAGGGGAACCCTTCTCAACCCCTCTTCTGGCCCTCCTTAAACAGGGACCTTATTCAGAGGGTCTATATCCCCCTAATCCTATCCCCCCGCAGGAATGAAGAGTGCGCAAGCCCAAAGCCTCAAAAGCCCAACCGATCTCAAAGCCCTATAGGCCCGAGAACGCCACGAAACCCTTAAAGGCCCCAAGCCCTAAACCCTAAGCCCTAAACCCTAAACCCTAAACCCTAAACCCTATCGGGGGACACTCGCGGCCTTCCTGGAGGTTGCAAGCCCGGGCCTGGCTTTTGCCCGGCCACGAGGTTGCAGCCGGCGTTTGAAGGGTGTTTTTTTTTTTTTTTTTCGGTTTTTTTGTTTGTTTTACAGTTTTAAGGTTTTTTTTTTGCGTTTTTTTTGTTTAACGGTTTTTAGGGTTTTTAGGGTTTTTAGGGTTGTTAGGGTTGTTTAGGGCTTTTAGGGTTCTTGAGTTTTCAGATTTTTTTAAAGGGTTTTTAGGGTTTTCAAACTTTGTTAGGGTTTTTAGTTCTTAGGGCTTCTGCATCGATTGTTGTCGTCGGCTCTACGAGGTTAGGGCTCAAGAGGTTCGGGCGAGAAAAAGGCTTGGGGCTATTCGGCTCTCGTCTTTGGCTTTCAGGAGTTGTAGTAGGAGCCTTCACGGTTCACACTGTGTGGTAAGCCTCGGCAAGCACAGAGAAACAAAGCAATTCCATGTGGGTGGTTGTCAAAATTATGGTCTCTTTTTGGGTCGCTAATTTTATAATACGGCACCGAAAATTTAGGGTGCAAAAGGGATCATACGTTTGAAAGCCACCTGCGTGCATGGGTTGGTGGGCAGGATTGATGAAAGCAACGCATTTGCTTTGATTGAAGCATTCAGCGGCCTATTCAGATCTGCCACGTGAGCGCATGCTCTGGATTATATGCCAGCAAGGGTGCCGTTTGTTGTCTTTATGTTCTTGAGTTTTTGGTCTTGTCCTCTGGAAAGAGAGGAACAGCGCAACAAAAAGAAATCAAAGCCCTGAACCCCGTAAACATCTTACACCCAAACCCCAAAGCCCTCAGGCCCGATGGTTTAGGGTTTAGGGTTTAGGGTTTAGGGTTTAGGGTTTAGGGTTTAGGGTTTAGGGTTTAGGGTTTAGAACATTGAACGATAGAAAGACATAAGTCAAGGTAGAAAGAATGAGCAAATGAGTTTAAGGAATGCATAAACCCTAAACCACTAAATGCCGTGAACATACCCCATTTGCCTTATATACCTCTCAATCCCTCCAACCCTACCAGCGAAGCGAATGCGAGCGGGTACTTTTCTTTGGTTGTCGAAGTCCGGGTACATTGCCAAGTTCGCTTCTTTTTTTGTGAGACATCTTTTTCGCTCTTTGTTCGGATACTCTTTTGGTGATCTGTGCGTCCCGAGATGTTGAGAAACATGGTGTAATCGAGTACTTTCCGCCATGTTGCTGAGAAGAAGGCGTGCTGAAATGTCGCAAAGAAAAGCGTTGCTGATTAAGGACGAGTCTATGCACGAATACTGTGTCCGCATTCTCGAAAAAGTGCCACTTAACAACAAAAGTAAGTAGACCAATGCACTTGCGGGTAGAAACCTTAAGCCTATGAACCAATCCTCAAATCCCCTAAGGCAACCCTAAACCCCAAACCCTAAACCCGGTAGTCCTAAACCCCGAAACCCTAAACGATGAAACCCTAAGCCCTCTAAACCGTAAACGCTACCTGTAACAATAGAGGCAAGCAACAAAAAGACTCCGGCCATCAACAATGTGAAGCCTTCTACTACTGCACGCGGAATTGTGTAACTTGAAGATTCGGATTCGTATAGGACACATGGCGACAGGTCTCAAAAGTGCTTTGCCGACACTGCTTACGGCCCCCCTGAAAGCTAAGGATTCTACTGCCGCCGCCACTGAAAAACTCGCTTGGCTCTGCGGGTCCTTGCAGAAAAAAGCGTGTAGTTGCTCAGTAGCAGCATGGGTGGAACATTGAGGCTATAGGTCCCCGCGCCCGCAATCCCCTAATTCAAACTTGAGGACCTACAACACCCTAAACCCCAAACCCTAAACCCTAAACCCCAAACCCCAAACCCCAATCCCTAAACCCTAAACCCTAAAACCGAAACGAACCCCAAAAGCCTTAACCTGAAGCTTTAGAGTTTATCATGACATCAGGGAGAGGTCCCTGCCACCCTGACCTACGTAAACCCTTGTATAGCTCGCCGGCTGAACCAGAATGGAGATGTGCCTGCGTATGCACTGGCTGTGGTGCTGAGTGGGTAGGGTCGGGTCGGGTAGGGTAGGGTCACATGGATATTTCACACATTCTTGTTGCTTGGATGACAGCAGCACATCAGCTCATACCATGAGTAGGCTTGCCAGGCATGGGCCGTGAGCCTCGACACTATCCAGCATCAAGTCTGTGGCCCCAGACCCAGACCCCTAATCCAGAAACGTAGCACCATAACTGCATCAGGCACTAGGGGAACAAAAAGATCGGACAGAACTAACATAGAGGCTAACAGACAACAAGACAAGGGCAAACTGCCGACTCCCCTATACCAGGTCTCTGCCACTGGGAGGTGAATTTTGCCAAGCACACCTGACACCGTCTGCCTCCAACCAATGCGCCCTCGAACGCCATGGCAGGGATGGTGCCGTACCAGGACTTGTTAAGGATTTAGGGTTTAGGGTTTAGGGTTTAGGATTTAGGGTTTAGGGTTTAGGGTTTAGGGTAGGCTTTCTAGGTTTGAAAGGGTTTAGGGCTCTGTGGAGTTCCGCTTAGAAATGTTCGCTACTGTCCTAGCCCCCAATAAGCTCAGCCCTAAACGCACTAAAACCTTATAAGATGTTCCCCTTCATGGGGATTATAGGGGGCATTGTAATCCCGATTAAGGATTGTTCGTATAAGGGGGAACATCCCAACCAAAACCCGTCAAGCCCTCAACGTCCGAAACAAACCTTAAACCCTAAACCCTAAACCCTCGACCCTCCAGCACCACTTCAGGAGCTTCTGTCGCTGCTTCGGCGGCGAGAGGACTCTCCTCTGGGCGGGCCCAAAGAGCCCAATACCCCTTGATTAAGGAATATACCTTAAACCATATTAAGGATCCCTATATAAATTAAGCAATATTCCCTAATTAGGGGATATTGTGCTCTGTGGGGGGGGGGTGTCTCTTTTTGCGGGTTCATCTTGTGTTATGAAATAGGATGAGCCGGACCAAAAGGGTCCATGTACCTTACGATTATATTCTTGGGCCCCAAAGTCATTGGGTAGGTGCTTTACGACCCAAGTATAGCCGATTTAGGTACATGGACCCTTAGAGGAAAAGCAAGACCCACCTTACTTTCAGCTCCCTGCTCAGACGCACCGCAGGAATCTGGGGGTCGCTTTACGACTTAGAAAGTCGGTTTCGTGCCTCAGCTCCCTTTCGGGTTTCAAGTTGCGGTTTAGGGTTTAGGGTTTAGGGTTTGGGGTTTAGGGTAGCCGAGGACGGTCTGTATGCTACAAATGTCCAGGCAGGCTCCAAAAATTGGAGGGCGACCCCTTTCAGGACACAATCACACCGTAATCTTGAGGGGAATTTGTTTCCCGTTAGCACATGCTTGCCAGTTACGTTCGTCAAGTGAAGCAAAGGCGAGCATGTCAGCGTTTTCCGCGGAGGGGGGTAGGACCAGCAGAGGCTACATTACAAAGTGAAATCTCAGAGTCAACTGGCTTAAGCGGCTGAAGGTCCATTCTTGAGATTCTGGGTTTAGGATGGTAGGGTGCGGGAATTGCAAGATCAGTCGGGTGGGGGGTTTGGGTGGGCACTTGCAACCTGGTGTAGAGTGTCGCCGGCTACATGCTCCCATCTGAGCGAGAAAAAGGGCTGGAGTGCAATGAGCATGCACAGCCTGGTCTAAGTCCCCTCTGGGGTATGGGGGTTACGATGAGGGGTACCTTATTGGGGTCCTTATAACAGTGGGATCCTACAATTTGGGGGGTCTATATAAGGGGCCATATGTCGTACTGGGTTCAATACCTTCGGTTGTTTCGTGACAGAGTGCCGCAGTGGCGTCGTCTTAGCGGATGTTCGGGCAAGACAAGAACACATCTGGCTCAAGCAGCTTCACTGCCAGGCTACACCCTGAACCCTAAACCCTAAACCCTAAACCCTAAACCCTAAACCCTAAACCCTGAGCGACTGAGACCCCGAACTCCGAACTACAGCAAGTTGGGTCAAGTTCACCGGGAGCAGCGCACGTCCCAGGACGAGCTCCGTGCCCTCCGTGAGGAGCGCACCGCCAAGGCGGGCCTGGGGCTTCTCCAACCGTAAACCTCAAATCCTAAACCTTATTATGAACATTAAACCCTAAACCCTAAACCCTAAACCCTTTACAAATTTCGAGGTTTGGGGGAGGGAGACTCATGTTCTGCGGTCAGTCTTCGAGGAGGGTCGGTCAGTTGTTCAGCAACAAATCCGTTGTAGATTGCACGGCGCATGGATGTATGGGATCGAGTTTGGCAGGGCTTCGGGTTTGTTGCTGTGCTGGACTGTTACAATGAAAGTTCTGTGGCCTGTAATTAGACGTAAGGGTTGTGGGATGCACCACCAAATTCAAGGTCTTGTGGACCATGCGCTAGGGGGGCTTTAGGCCTCCTTACAAGGTGCTCCCTCAGCAGAATGTAAATGGCAGCGTTGTCCACGAAAACCAAGAACAAAAAGCCCTCGGTAACGAGTGTGCAGGTCGGCACATCACGCTACGTCCATGAGCCATGGCCAGCGAAAAAGACCCATGACCTATGGAAGTTTTTCTATGCTCAGCCCGAATTTTCTTAGGAGCCAGAAGAAGCCGGAGGCACTACAAAGCCCGATGCCAAGAAAGCTCAAGCCCGGTACAAGCCTGACAGAGTTTAGGGTTTAGGGTTTAGGGTTTAGGGTTTAGGGTTTAGGGTTTAAGCACTCTAAACCCTGAACCTTCAAACCCATGTAGTCTCCTAAAAAACCCACGACTTGCATTTGGCAGGATGCAACCATTGACTTTCTCAAGACCAAGATCGCATTCCGGCTGCCTTGTGAGGCTGAGAGGTTCTTGGGGATTGAGGCTTGCTTAGGATATGAAGCTTACATGAATCTGCTTTTTTAAATTTTAAGTTTATCACATGTATACATATACTCAATACATATACACCCTAAAACCTAAACCCCTAAACCCTAAACCCTAAACCATATTATGGATAAAACTTACTGCAAATTTAGGTATGTCTTTAGGGCATCGGGTATCAGGCCGACAGAATCCTGGGAGGGGCCCTCAGATATTGTACCAGACTTAAAGTGCGAAGCCCTTTAAGCCCTCACCCCAAAGGCACCACCGGTCCCCTTTGTTATTAGGGTTTAGGCAACCCGAAGCCCTAAGCCCTAAGCCCTAAACCCTAAACCCTAAACCTCCAAAGTAGGGGACTGAGGCCACCCTACAGAACCGGCTCGCCGTGGAGTCGCTCCAGTGCGGAGGGGATGGCGAGGCCATGAGCATCCTGGTAGGCTTTGGGTTTAGGGTTTAGGGTTTAGGGTTCAGGGTTCAGGGTTTGGGGTTTAGTGTTTAGGGTCTAGGGTCTAGGGTCTAGGGTAAGTTTTACAGTGGTTTGGGGGATGAGGGTGAGCAAGGCCCAAGGCTGGGACACGTCGTTGCTTAAGCGAGTCGCTTTTGTGTTGACGTTCTCCTGGTAGACTGTAGAGTCGTGAGCTAAGACCCTAAACCCCAAACCCTAAACTCAGAGCCACAGGAACCGTCAAGCCCATAACCCTAAACCCTAAACCCAAAACCCCAAACCCTAGTCTCCAAACTCCCGAAGCCGAACCCCCCCTCCCACCTGAACCTCCGACAGCGCGAAGCTTCAAGCCTTAGGCCCTACCAAATAAGGGGCCAATAATGAGATTTTTTTTTTTTTTTCGGGTTATTGTTGGCCCTGCGGTTGAGTGTTTCGGCCCTGCAGCTCATACGCCCAGAAACCACTGCAAAATGTGGTCAGTGGCTGAAATAAAATTTCATGCACTACTGCAAAAAAGCTCTAAATAGGAAACAGAAGGGAATGCCAATTGACACGTAAAGGTCCACGCTACATACTTGTATAGGGACCATCGGGGAAAACTAGAAGCCCTAGATGCCTTTGGTGTGCCAGGAGATCCAGCAAAGACTGGAGACGGAGAGACGCCGCAACGAGGCAAAGCTGTCTTATGGCTTAGGGGGGGGGCTTCGGAAGTCCAGAGTTTTTAGTGGTTCAGAGCTAAGGTTGGTAAGCTTTGGGGTCGAAGGTCCCTAGGCACTTCAGGGATTGAGGGTCTATGGGTTCAGGTCTTGGTGCCCGTCGTGCACGCACTCCAAAACTCCAACTTCAAGCAGACTTTCAATTCAGCCGCCCGGGCGAAAAGGCCACGAACACCACAGCCCTAACCCTGGCTACAGCACTGACGACATTTTCTGACAGCCTGTGTATCCTGTGCCCTGGTTTCCCTGAAGCACGCTGCCTGCGATCTTCTTTTTTGTGCTGGGGCAGATCTGAAATTGATTAAAGGTTGTCGAAAATTCTGGTATTAGAATACGGCACCTAGTATTTAGGGTACCCCAAAAAGGGCCCATAATTTTGACAGCCAACCATTTGGGTCTTTGGTTCAGGCTGGTGTGAGCCAGCAAGGCTTCGCCTCTGAAGACATCCCTCCCTCCAGCCCTGAAGCCTCACAGCCGAGAACCCTAAACCCTAAGCCCTAAACCCTAAACCCTAAACCCTAAACCCTAAACCCTAAACCCTAAACCCTAAACCCTAAACCTCCTAAGTTTGAGGAGATGTCCCGGGAGCTGCAACACGCAGCACTGGAGATCGACGACTTGCGGGCGGAACTCAAGGAGGCGCCTCCTGAGGGCTTCGAAACTTGTAGGGGGTTTGAGGTTTAGGGTTTAGGGTTTAGGGGTTAGGGGTTTATTGTTTAGGGTTTAGGGTTTAGGGTTAGGGTCTAGGGTTCAGGGTTTAAGGTTTAGGGTTTAGGGTTTAATTAGGGTTTAGGGTTTGGGGGGGTTTACGATACCGGGTACCTTATTCGGGGTCATAATTTTAAGGGGGATCCTACTACTTGGTGTTCGATTATAGGGGTCCCCCGTGGGATTCATGTTCAGGATTTAGGAGGCTTGGGGTTGTGGAGTTAGGGCTTAGGGTGTTCATCGATCTTAGAGGCCTCAGTCGCTTTAAATCTCGGACTTCAGTGGGTGGGTTCTGAGTCTCGCATTTGCGGGGGGGGGGGGGGGGGGTTAGCTTCAACCCAAGAGTGCCACAACCAGCAAGAAGCCTGTGCTAGGGTCTAGGGTTCTGTATGGCCTGCCACAAAGCGAAAGCTGAGAAGCCCCGTGTTTTTCAACCTCGAAGCCCTGTGAGGGCTGCTCATAGTCGGAGGGCTGCTTGCGTCGCTTCCCCTTTCCGGGCCGCCGGTAGTCCGCCCTCACACAAGTTGACGCTTACCCTTTTTAAACCGGGAGCCGCGCATAAGGACCGTTTTGGTTTTTGTGTAAACACTAGTTGTCAGGCTGTTACATGCCCGAGCTCACAGTCAACCCTAGAGTTTCGCATGCACTGGACATGCCGCTTTATGCTGCAGGTTGATTTCACACAATACAGCACAAAGAAGAGCTGCATTAAAAGGACCATGCAGATGTTTGAAACACATGGAGGCCTACTATTTACCCTAAACCCCAAAACCCCCAAAACCCCCAAACCCCCAAACCCCCAAACCCCCAAACCCCCAAACCCTAAACCCTAAACCCTATTTTCGTAAACCCCCGCAGCCAAGTCCTTTTTGCAAGGCCCGGGCAGAGGTGGCCTCGCTGCAGGCAGAGGTGGAGAGCCTCTGCTGCATAAGCTTGGCATGCTTAGGGTCTAGGGTCTAGGGTTTAGGGTTTAGGGTTTAGGGTTTAGGGTTTAGGGTTCAGGGTTCAGGGTTCAGGGTTCAGGGTTCAGGGTTTAGGGTTTAGGGTTTAGGGTTTAGGGTTTAGGGTTTAGGGTTTAGGGTTTAGGGTTTGGTTTAGGGTCTAGGGTTTTAGCAGGTCCAGTTGCAATGCCGTTTCGTTGCTTGTGTCCAGAGGTCAAATATTCTTGCCAGTGCCAGGCCTCCGGTGACAGCATTGTCAGGCAGCCTAGCAGCAGACCACAAGGGCCTTTAAACATGCCAATATTAACTATACTTGTGTAAGATGAGCTACCCATAAAACGAAGTGGACCCTACATAACAGCTTGGTGCCGCCCATGCAAGGATTTTTTTCATGGACGCCGCTCGGGACCGGAGCACATGGAGCACATGGGCATCACACAGCAGCCCATGCGTAAAGAGCCAGTTATTACGTGCATTACTGTGGCACCCTGTAGTGCAACTAGGAGAGACTAGGAGCTAAGACACTTGCATGCCGTCGCATCGACAGACTTCATGACGTATTGAGGCCCCTTTTCCGTTCATTGCAATAGGCGTGCCAATCGTGGCTACCCGGGGGTTACAACAGTGCTCGCATCATCAAACCAGGGCCGGGCTTCAAACGACATGACTCCATTGCTGCTGGCGATGAAAAGCGCTGGCACTGGGTTTCCGATACTGCATCCTGGTGGAGCACTTTGAACTCTGAAATTGTGTAGTCTAACACAACAACGGCTTGGTTGTAAGTAAGGTTTCGGGCTTGACCGAGTCTCAACAGCTCTTTCAGTCTCTCAGGAAACCCCTTCTGCGTTCTGGCAACAGCGAGAACCACAACGGCCACGCGCTCTGGGTTTGAGGTTTTAGACTTGAGGGCGAAATGAGACCGAAGACCTGGAGCACATACCTTGAACCAAGAGCCGGGTCTTAAAGCAGGCAAAAGAAGACTCTGGAGTTCATAATTTAGCTGTTCCCTGCAAAAACTAACTCAGAAGAGCGCTCAGGGATTCTGACATGGAGCTGTCGGCAGCATGGTTTGGACATGCGGCCAGAACCCCAAACCTTAACTGGTATCATGTCTCGCGCGCGCGCGCGCGACCGGCAGTTTGGTCACGCGCCGCTGGCACGCGTACAAGGGTTTTGGGTTTAAGGACGTATGATAACAGGGTTCCGTCTAGGGCTGTCGCGTCTCACGGTTCAGGATGCCCTAACCCTAAACCTCAAAGCCTAAACCTTGAACCTTTAAACCCTAAACCCTAAACCCTAAACCCTAAACCCTAAACCCTAAACCCTGCACTCAGGTGTGTTGAAGGAACACAACGTCCTCATTGCCAGCGTGGAGGAGCTGGAGCGCGAACTGGCGCAGGACTCCGGAGCTCCTTGATGTTTAGGGTTTATAGAGTTTGTGGTTTAGGGTTTGGGGTTTAGGGTTTAGGGTTTAGGGCTAGGGTTTAGGGTTTGGGGTTTAGGGTTTAGGGGCTCCTGTATGGCCGTATGGTCTAGGGATGCTGCCTCTTGAGTCGTGAGAAAGTGCGGAAGCAGCTCAGAAGTGTAGGGCTGCTAAAATCCAAGCCCGAACGACAACTTCATAGGGGTCGGAATACTTACTACTCGTGTTCCCTTGGGTTTAGGGTTTAGGGTTTAGGGTTTAGGGTTTAGGGTTTAGGGTTTAGGGTTTATGGTCCCCTTATAAGTATGCTATAGAACCCCCCCCCCCCACAAAAAAAACAACAAAACCTAATTATTCTAATTATTCCGGCCCCTATATAACTCATTCAAGGTTAGGTTCTCAGGGCTGTGAACGGATGTAAACTCTAAACACAAAACTTTGAATCCCAAAGTCAGCGGCGGCTTCGACGCACGCTTTGCAGCCGTCGGGTTCCAGGATTATAAGGCCTATCAAGGATTTCAGGGGACTAGGGGTGTTTGGGGGGGATTGGTGTCTGATAGATGGGGGTACACTCGTACAGGCCCTAAGGCCCGGAACCCCCAAGCTTGGTGGCCCAGTAGGCCCGGAACCCCCAAACTTGGTGGCCCAGTGGTACCCTGTACCCTTTTTTTTTTTGGTTCAAGGTTCCCTTTGTAAAGCAACCAACCAAAAGAAGGGATGCCATTATCATAAGATGGTTACTGGAATACCTAGAAAAAACCTTGAACACCCTAACACTAAGGGTCCATATACCCATACAGCACAAATATGGGCCCGAAAGCTACTGTACAGGCGCCCCTTTCACGGTTTAGGGTTTAGGGTTTAGGGTTTAGGGTTTAGGGTTTAGGGTTTAGGGTTTAGGGTTTAGGGCGGAGATACGATATGGAGCATGCTGAGAAGGTTCCTCTGCAGTCTGGCCCTACTGTCTCGTAGCAGTTGCGCACCGCCCTCAGAAGCAGAGCTGCTGCGTCACTGTGGGTACATGGACCCTTTGGGGAACCAATCCTAAACCCGAAACCCCAAACCCGAAACCCGAAACCCCAAACCCCAAACCCCAAACCCCAAACCCTAAACCCTAAACCCTAAACCCTACACCCTACACCCTAAACCCTAAACCCTGCACTCAGGGTAACCAATCCTAAACCCTCGCAGGACACAACCAAGGCTGCCGAGGAGATCCCGGCACGTCTTAAGGGCGGTGTGTGTGTTTTGGGGGCGATGTTGGGCCCTCAACCCAAGCCTAGGAGGTTTAGGGTTTAAGGTTTACGGTTTAGGGTTTAGGGTTTAGGGTTCAGGGCTGCTGCAGCGGTTCTCCGGCTTTGGTGTTCAAGGGCGGCATTTCTGGGATGAGAGGCTCGGGGTTTTGATGTTTGCAGGATTTCATGGGGCGTTTTTTCGGTCTTAGGGTGTCTATCGGACGTTTTAGGGCCTTTGCTTTCGACTTTGATGCAGGCCCGGCCGCTTAAAGGTTTGACGTTGGAGCAAGAAGCCTCCAGCAGACATTGTACCTGCATGCTTTCGTTGCCCCTACACGCCGACCTCAGCCTTCGACATGAATTTACACATGAGCATAGTGCTTTGAAGCTTCGGAGCTGGTCGAGCTAAAGGGCCGGAGAAGCATCCACCACCACCACCGCCACCCCCCCTTATCCCCGCACCTTCCCGGTTTAGGGTTTAGGGTCTTGGGTTTAGGGTTTAGGGTCGAGGGGGCCATGGCACCTTCACGCTTTGGGAGATGCAATGACTTAGGATCCTGAGGGTTTTGGATGTCTCAGGCCCCAGTCTAGCGGCCCTTGCCGTCGTGTTTGATGGTAGCACGGTCGTCAAGTCCACAGCACAACCGAGTCCAGAACGCTCGGGTGGGTGGGTGGATGTAGAAGATTTTCATGTTTTGTTTCTTTTGTCAGCAGGCTTCTCGTTGCCCATGCCGATGTCCCACGAAGCGCGGGCCATGCCACAGCCGTCGAAGTAGTAGCTTCAACGGCCAGCTGCATGGGCTTTCTTACCCAAAATAAACTAAACCTTGAACCCTGAACCCTGAGCCCTAAACCCTAAACCCTAAACCCTAAACCCTAAACCCTAAACCCACAGTAGCCCCAGACATCCAAACCCCTGTGAGAACGCAGGGCTTGCTGCACCCTCAGCACCCGAAACTTCGAACAGATCAGGGTTTAGGGTTTAGGGTTTAGGGCTTAGGGTTTAGGGTTTAGGGTTTAGGGTTTAGGGTTTATGGTTTAGGGTTCAGGGTTCAGGGTTCAGGGTTTAGGGTTTAGGGTGATCCTATGCGCACCCTCCATGGCACTGCGGATCCTACTTGGAAGCTCCGTGGCGGCGGGGGCCTCAGAATATTTCAGGACTCTTGCACTTGCTATTTCAGGGTACTTGCATGGGCCCTTGGGGGGTTCAGGGTTTGCGAGGTTTGGGGTTTAGGCCTGAGTGGTAGCCTCAATATGGTCCCTTACCTCCTTTAAAGGGTTCTGAAGCATGGGCCCTTGGGATGTATAGGTATATAAGGGGCATAGAAGTCAGATGCAAAGAGCGGCGGTCTGCCGCTGTGATATAAGGGTTTAGGGTTTAAGGTTTCGGGTTTAGGGTTTCGGGTTTAGGGTTTAGGGTTAGGGGACATGTGCCATGTGATTGTCACGCACGGTTAGACCTTAGACCCCGCGAAGGCTTCCCCCAAGGCTTCAACCGCCTCCCCCTCCGAATTTGCACAAACAAATACGCCAAGCTTGCCCAGATTCCTTCCTTCAGTTGTCATGGTGCCACCTGCAACAAAAGATCAAAAAGCATGGCCCCAACGTGTAGAGGCGACAGAGAGATCTGTGGCTTCAACGCCCAGGTCTGCTTTACGGGTTCCCGCGGCCCATGGAGCACAACCCAGAGGAGTGTCAACGCTGAGGGTTCTTTCGGACTCCGAGCTAATATAGGGGTGGGAGTACTTGCTACTAGTATTCCCTTAAGGTCCCTGTATACATTTACTATAATCACCCCCAAAACCCTATTCTAATTATTCAGGCCCCTAAATACAAGGCGAGCTGGTAATGCGGCTTTACGCTTGGTACCCTCTGGCTACAAATCCGGTTTTACTGGGGCATGTTTGAAGTCGCCAACTCTGCTTGCATAGTCCCTGCTGCTCGTGCTTCTTTATCTGGACTGGGTAAACAGTGTCGGGCAATGAGAGGATGGCGGCAGTCTAGGGATTATCCGTTTAAATTTAGGTCTGCCTTATCCGGTCCGGTTGATCTTTCCACATCTGCAATGCTCGCGCAGCTCATGCTTTGCACGCGTGATGACAGAACTGTGCTATGACAGTTGCAGGGGTTCAGTGGGGGGAAGAGTTTTTGAAACTTTAGGAGAAGCTTACCAGGCCCTCAAGCCACAGCAAGCCCCGCGACCCAAAACTCACAAAGCCGCAAAAGCCCACAACAGCTCTGCAACCCCTGCAGCCACAAGACCCTGACATGAGCCATAGCCCTGACCCCACAAAGCACTTACACCCTCAAACCCAAGAAGCCTCACGCCCTACGAACCCATGAGTCCCTCTAGAGAGCATAGAAAGCTCTGAAGGTCTAATCGAACTCTTTCAATCCCTAGTACCCTAAACCCAAACTCTATAACATAAACCCTGCAAACCCAAACTCGAAACGCCCTGCATTTATACGTGGACCCCAAAGTTCCCTTGTTCAGGACCTATAATGATCATAATGCTGTACAAACCCTACAAGCCCAAACTCAACCCTATATTCTATCGGGGGACCCCAACCCTAAACCTTAAACCCTAAACCCTAAACCCAAATGTTATATGCGGGGACCCCAGAATTCCCTTGCACAGGACCAGGCTGCGCAGTGGTGACGGCGAGTCATTAGCCTGGAGACCCCGGCGTCGGCCTAAGCGGCTCAGAAGAGGTCTTGGGGTTTAGGGTTAGGTTTAGGGTTTAGGGTTTAGGGTTTAGGGTTTAGGGTTTAGGGTTTAGGGTTTAGGGTTTAGGGTTTAGGGTTTAGGGTTTAGGGTTTAGGGTTTAGGGTTCAGGGTTCAGGATTCAGGGTTCAGGGCTTAGGGTTTTAAGGGTTTAGGGTGGGATTTGGAGTTTAGGGGCATCCACTGCTGCAAAATGAGGCTTGCCAGTCTTGCAATGGAGGGTTTCAGGAGGGTTGGAGCCTGCACCTTCAGGCTGTTCAGGGTGGCCGACACCACAGCCAACACAAAGCTCCTGAAACCTTAAACCCTAAACCCTGAACCCTAAACCCTAAACCCTAAACCCTAAACCCCTGAAACGCTCGATCCCAGTCCCGGGGGCCGGCCTCAAACCCATTGCCCTTTTTTTGTTTCAAGGCTCCCTTCTTGCGGACAGGGCAGGTAACCTTTAACCTTTGTTGTTCCTTTTTGGGGCTAGGGTCTTCAGCCCCTAAGCCTTCGAAAGTAGCCAACCAAAAAAGGGGGTGCCCGAATTACAAGACGGTTCCCGGGCTACCAAGCAGAACCTCAAGGAACACAAGTCGGACCTTGAGACGGCCCAGATCTTCCAGCACCCCCTAATGCAGGAATATACCCCAAGTTAAACCAAAGATCCTTATTATGAATTTGGGTATATTCCTTATAATTCAGGGGTTTTGGAAGATCTGGGAGGTTTCGAGAAACCTGGCAGAACCGCGTCCCGAAGGCCCCCCGCGAAAGCCAGTCTGGGAAGGTTGATGTGAGGGTTTCAGCGTTTAGGGTTTAGGGTTTAGGGTTTCGGGTTTAAGGGGACCCCCTAAGATAGACCCCCAAATAGTACGAATATCCTGTTTATCAGGACCCTGTTAAGGTACCCCTAATATCGTAAACCCCATGTGAGGGTTAGGGGGTTTGTGGTTTGCGGTTTGCAGGGGCCAGGTTTTTCATTCGTAGGTGTGGCTAAGCTGGTTTGCTATCGGTGCTGCTCCATCCCAAGTGCGCATGCAAATCCCCAAGCCCATAACCTGCCTTTGTACTGTACCAAACCGTACATGCTTGCTTCAGACGAAATCTTAGGATCGTTCAGTTTGCAGATGCAGGAGGCTGCCGCCCGTACAGCCACCCACCTCCCCCCTGTCTGTTTGCCAATGGGTGGAGTTGTAAGCCTAAGCCCGAAATCAAACTCGAAGTATGGGTCGCATCATGTGGCCGAACCCACCCGAACCGTATGCATCCGTCCAGGCTTGCCAGTAAAATCCAACCGCGATGCACAACCGAATAGACCCGGAAAGTCCTGCGCACGTAGTCCTACAAACCCTTTCGCGTGGCAAGCCTCATGCTGATAGATCCAGTTCCAACTTTGTCGCATCAAGTTTTCCCGGCAATGTCTTGCTTTTGTACTGACATCCATCTCAGTGCGCCACGGCCACTGCATCACCTTACCTTCACGAAGTCCAGGGCACTTCAAGCTTGTCAGACTTTGGGGCTTGTGGCCTCTATGGGGTTTAAACCCTAAACTCTAAACCCTAAACTCTAAACCCTAAACCCTAAACCCTAAACCCTGAACCCTGAACCCTGAACCCTGAACCCTAAACCCTAAACCCTAACAATAAGGTACCCCTAACATCGGAAACCTCCATAGGGCCATTTTGAGAGTCCACGCCAGGCGGAACGACAGGAATCCCTGCAGGAGCACTTCCGGTCTGTGCAGCGACGTAAGGCCGACAGAGGGTCCTCACGCAGTTTGGGGGTTTAGGGTTTAGGATTTAGGGTTTAGGGTTTAGGGTTTGGGGGTTTAGGGTTTGGGTGTGGGAATGGCTAAAGGTTGGCTTGGCTTTATGGTGCTTGTGGTTTAGGTTGCGAATCCAGCGTGCCTCACGATTTGTTGCTTCCAGACAGAATCTGACGCTGAGCATGTCATTGTTCCGTCGATCTTGATTTAAACAGGGTTGAGTGGGTTGGATTTTGCAGCTTGCGGGCTGCGGGCCAGCCACGCCTCAGCGAGCCATCGTGTCGGTGGTAGAAGCAGATCATGCACCAGCTTAGTCGTGCAGGAGAGATGCATCTTGTCCATGGAAAGCTTGTTGCTTGACATCATTGCACCAGCAAGCCCTCAAGATCAGAGGAGCTGGCATGCCCACCGTTCCGAAATCTGCCCGCAAGCCCAACACTTGCCCCCGAAACCAAAAAAGGCGACCACAGCCACCTGGCGCCGGATTGATCCGGAGCCATTTTGCCAGGGCCTTGTGAGGCTTGGGGGCCGGAGGTCTTCTGACCCCTCAGTGCTTACTCAAGGCCTTTGGAGCTAGAGACGTTGGGGCCTTAAGGAGGTGTAGGGCAACTGTAGGGTTCGCAATTTTCTGCGTGCAGCAGAACTTGGGGCTTATTTTGTAGGGTAGCGAATGAGAAGAATCTTGTAGAGTCTCCGAAATGTTCGCAAGACGGGTGCCTACGGAGTCGGCTTTGGGGACTGGTGGGTAGCTCTCATCACCTCGGGGTGTGTTGCCCTGCCTGGCTTGTCAAAGAGGAGTTGTTTTTGTGATGCGTCGTCTTGCCATCCTCCTCCCTCCTCCCCCCCCTCCCCCCTCCTCCCCTGTCCCCCGCTCCCCCCTCCCCCCTCCTCCCCCTTCCCCCTCCCGCCCGACCCACTTGCAACTTTCCCAGGAACCCCCTCGTCTGACAGGAGGAAGCCCCTCCGATCCCTCATGCGCAAAGCAAACTACTCCGACGCCTACAACCTCCAGACGACCCTAAGCCCCAAGACCCAAGCGCTGATGGTTGGCTCAGGGTTTAGGGTTCAGGGTTCAGGGTTTAGGGTTTAGGGTTTAGGGTTCTTACGCCCTAACCCAAAGAATGCCAGGACCCTAAACCCCAAGGCTTACGCCCTCGACGGCTCAACGAACTGTCCCAGGCCTTGCTTTGGAGCTGGTCGTCGAGGACTTGAACCCTGGTGCCCCGGAGGCCTTAGGGACTGAGGGCTTCGGGTTGGGATGTTCCCCCCTTATACTCGCAGTCCTTAATAGGGATTACCGTCCCCCCCCCCCCCCAATATCATCTCTACTGAAGACTGTTAGTATAAGGAGGAACATCCCAAGTTTTGGGGGTTGATGGAAGGTTTCTTGGCCCATATGAACTTAAGAAAGAAGCGCGCATGGATACTCGGACCCCGCTGATGACCTGGTAGCATGGACGTAATCACGGCTTGGCCCATGAACAGAAGCCCGGGCGGCAGATGATTAATGTCGGGGTCGGAAAATACCAATAGTATTCCTTTATGGTCCCTTCATAAAATGTACAATAATAGCCCCAAAACACTATTCTGATTATTAAGGCCCGTATGTTGCGACCGGGGGGTGTCAAGGTGGGAATTTTGGAGCTTGACATGGACGAAGCTTCTCACCTCCGACTTGGGTGGGACATGATTGGACCCACCTGATACTGTAGAGGTTCGAGTCACATGACGCATGAATCGTAGGGTTCTCGTCGTACTTGGTAGCCGGTGGTACCCTTTGACCTTTCTTTTTCGGTTCAAGGTTGCCTTGTAAAGTAACCAAGCAGAAGAAGGGTCCCCGTGTTATAAGATGGTTACTTGGCTACCAAGCATCCTGATCATAGGAGAATTCGACATCGTGTTCGGTCGAATTTTCGCGGTGCCCCAGCAGCTCGGGCATCGCTGGACCCTTCAAGATCAGATTTTGGGTTTATAGGGTTGAGGGTTGCGAGGGTTTAGGGTTTAGGGGGTTTTGGGTTTAGGGTTTACCGTCCCCAAACCCAAAAGTCTCGTGGTCGCTCAGCCTTGCAGTGTGAAGGAGAAAGTCTCGGCCAAATGCCACAAGCTGTGGCTCGTCTTCAACTATGTGGGCGTTTCCGAAATCACGGGTACGCATTGGGGTTCAATACTACTATATGTGGACTCTACTAGAAATCCCTTATTTCCCTCAATCCCCATGTGGGACCCGACTGAAATCTAAAGCTTGGACGTGCAGACTGTACACAGGTTTGAGGGCTCGCGGTTTTGGAACGATTTGGAATTCACGTAAGGGTCTTGTAGCTTCGGGGTTGACGCTTCAGGGGTTTTTCTGGATGCCAGGCCTCGTGTTTGGATTTCGATGCGGAGAGCTTAGGCTTGGAATAAGCATGCAAGGATCTCACAGAGCAGAAGTCAAGGGAGGCACAAGACTAGATCAGTGTTAGGGATCCTTTTTACTTTTTGGGTTATGGGCTTTCTTATATATAAACAAAAAGGATCCTTTGTTTCTTCCCAGGGGAACAGGGATTAAGAAGAATTCTTGAAAGATACTCCGGTCCTTGCCTCAGATCCCGAGCCTTAGGCGCTGATCATGAGCCATTTCTCTCCCGTGGCCCTGGAACCTGACCCGATTTGTACATCCAACCCTAGACCCTAAACCCTAAGCCCTAAGCCCTAAACCGCCTGATAAGCATGGCACCGCCCTTGAGGTTCATACAACCTCAACAACAAACTAAGAAGGCAAACCTCGAGCCCGGAAAATGCAGCCCGAAGCCCACGACGGATTGTCGGGGGAATGCTTTTTTGTGTACCTGCATGCGCCAGCGCCTGATAAACCGCCAAAAACCCCAAGCCCCAAACCCAACAAATCCTGCAAAGCCACGACCCAGAGTAGGCCCCTTACTCTTTTTTTTGGGGTTGGGGTTCCCTCAAACCAAAAAGGGTACCCTGTTTATTCCTAGGTTACTCTAGGGTCTAGCGCGCATTGGAAGCCCAGAAGTGGGTGGCCGCGAAGGTTGAGGAAGCTGGCGCGGGGAATGCGGATCGGCTGGGCTCTTGCCCCAGCTTCTCTGAGGCTAACTATATAGCAGATATGTGGGTTTCCGATATTAGGGGTACCTTGGTGGGATCCTTATGAAAAGGGGATCCTATTGTTTGGGGATCAAAGGGGATCAATTTTTTTTAAGGGTCCCTTATTTTCGTAAACCGCCATATAGCAGATGTAAAGGGTTCTCGGGTTTAAGAAGGGGTGTTGGAGTTTAGAGAGTTCAGGGTTGTGGGTTAGGGATTAGTTGAGGGTTCGTTCAAGTGTCTACGCAGGAGATCACGAAACGAAGGCATCACCCTCCCCCAGGATAGGTGCTTTCGTAGGCTCAGCCTGTGATGTGAGAGCCTTCCCCACAATCCCTAATCCGTAAACCCGAAACCCTATACCCTAAACCCTAAACCCTAAACCCTAAACTTTAAACCCTAAACCCTAAACTTTAAACCCTAAACCCTAAACCCTAAACCCTAAACCAGTACCGGCTTGGGAGATTCTCCTGAACCCGCTGAAGCCCCACTTCCTCCCGAACCTTCCTTCCACCGACACGCAGCAGGAATGGCAGCTCCTGAACGTGACGGAGGCTTGGGGGCTAGAGTTTGGGGTTTAGGCTTTAGGGTTTAGGGTTTAGGAGGCTTTACCTTGAAACCCAGTAGACTACAATTATGGGCTACAGTTTCTTATGTTGGGGGGTATGGTAGCCCCCTATTTTGGGTAACTAGGCGTTTCAGGTAGAGCTTGGGAGTGCAGCTTCCATTCTCGAAGCTGTAGAAGGTGTATGGTTACATGTAGGGGCCCCCCCGAATTTTTTGAAATAGGGTTATGAGGGCCTTAATTGGGATAGAAGTCCTACTATTTTAGGTTTTAATTCGCTTAACTAAAGTTAGTATAGTAAGGGGGCCCCTACACCGTGTAGTTGCTCTCAAAAAGCCCCCGGCGTGAGCCTTCTTATAAGCTGAAGCTTCTTCGAGCATCCCAAACCCGAAACCCTAAACCCTAAACCCGAAACCCTAAACCCTAAACCCTAAACCCTAAACCCCAAACCCTAAACCCTAAACCCTTAAGCCCTACATAGCCCTGAGGACCTGGACCCCGCGACCTTGCGGGACATGGACTTCGAGGCTGTAGTCCGCCGTCTGCCTCGCGACTGCAGTGGGGGGGTTTCGATGGGTTTAGGGTTTAGGGTTTAGGGTTTAGGGTTTAGGGTTTAGGGTTTAGGGTTTAGGGTTTAGGGTTTAGGGTTTGGGGTTTGGGGTTTGGGGTTTCGATGGGTTTAGGGTTTAGGGTTTAGGGTTTAGGGTTTAGGGTTTAGGGTTTAGGGTTTGGGGTATCGATGGGTTTAGGGTTTAGGGTTTAGGGTTTGGGGTTTCGATGGGTTTAGGGTTTAGGGTTTAGGGTTTAGGGTTTGGGGTATCGATGGGTTTAGGGTTTAGGGTTTAGGGTTTGGGGTTTCGATGGGTTTAGGGTTTAGGGTTTAGGGTTTAAGGTTTAGGGTTTAGGGTTTGGGGTTCAGGGTTTAGGGTTTAGGGTTTAGGGTTTGGGGTTTCGATGGGTTTAGGGTTTAGGGTTTAGGGTTTGGGGTTTCGATGGGTTTAGGGTTTAGGGTTTAGGGTTTAGGGTTTAGGGTTTGGGGTTTGGGGTTTGGGGTTTGGGGTTTGGGGTTTCGATGGGTTTAGGGTTTAGGGTTTAGGTCGAGAGGTTGAAGGGCTCAAGGGGCGTTTAGGAAGCTCGGGACGCTTCAGAAGCGAGAAGCGAGGGTATCCAGGTTTAAGGGTGTGGCAGCTCGTTTAGTCGTCTCGGGTCTCGCGCTTGCGACAGTCCATAGCCCAAAACTCTCCATCAATCCCCTAATCTTGCGCGTCAGGTTGACCTATCGCCTCGGACCTGTAGGCCCAGTGTAGGCCCACAGAAGTACCCTTATTCCCTTTTTGGGGGGTTTAGGTTCCTTATAAACCCCTTTAAGCAAAAAAAGGCACCCTTTTTAAGCCTAGGTTACTGGGCAGCCTCGGAACTTTGAGAGCATCAGCTTACCTTGGATCTCCGCCAAAGTTCGCGGCCTCTCACTTCCCATGGACCCCCAACCCCTGTAGCCCCCTGAAGAAGATTAAACCCTAAACCCTAAACCCTAAACCCTAAACCCTAAACCCTAAACCCCAAAAACCTATTTTGTTTGTACATAGACCCCAAGGGAATCTGAAATATCCGAGTTTTATTAAGGCTTTAAAGGGGAGTGTAGACCCGAAGTCTGGAGCCCAGGCAGACCCTGGGCCCACAGAAGCAGGCCTGGCCACAGACTCACGACAGCAGGAGGGTTTAGGGTTTGGGGTTTAGGGTTTAAAGTTTAGGGTTTAGGGTTTGGGGTTTAGGGTTTAGGGTTTAGGGGCCTAAAGTTTTCTTGGGGTTTCTGTTAGTTTTGAGGTTTAGGCTCTAGTAGTCCCTCGTGATATATGATGGTAGTGACGGTAGCACATGGTAGACTTTAGAAGCTATCTTGGGGACGAAATGAACCCTAAAATTGGGGGTCCATATACCCTATACTAGTATAATTCCTATTAGGGTAAAACCCTTTTAGGGTTCATTTGGTAGGCCCTCAATTCTCCGCAGCCGCAGCCTTTGGCTTGGGTCAATGCATGAAACGCCCTGCGGCGGCACCGCCGGCACGGCGCGCAAAACGCCGGATGGCGGAAGGAGCGTGCCTTGGTTTTCAAAACGTTTCGAGAGCGGATGTTCCCCCTTGTACTAACAGTCCTGAATTTGGGATTATCGTAGGGGGTACTACAATCCTTTTTGAAGACTGTTAGTAAAAGGTGGAACATCCCAACCTACAGGTTTTCGGATTGGGGGCCTAGAGGCATTGGGTTAGAGGGCTTTAGGGTTTATAGGGGTAGGAGATTTAGGAGGTTTTGGTTGCAAGGTGCGTTTTCGGGGATTCGGGTTTGCAGAAGTGAGCTAAGATGCTCATCGTTCGCCTATACAAGATGTGAAGAGTGTCGGGTGTGCGTTTGAAGAACGAAATCGGCATGCCCGATCGGGGCCAGCTGCAGTCGCCGGTTTGCCCGAAGCCCTAAACCCTAAACCCCCAACCCCCAAACCCTAAACCCTAAACCAGGCTCCCTTATCCTTCGCTCTGCCATTGAGGCAGCGAGTGCAGATCTTCGTCACCGGCAAAGTGCAAGGTGCAACTTGGCGGCATGCTCGGATCCTCGGCGTCAGGAGTTACAGTAGTCGGGAAGAAAATCATGTAAAGTCTGGCTGGTTCTTAGTAGGGCATGAGGGGATGAGGCACCCTATAATGATAAGTCCCTCAAAGGGCATAATATAGGTACCCTATGTAATTCCTTAAAGGGTGCAAATATAGAGCCCGACTTCCCTCATTCCCTACTAAGAACCAGCGGGGAAAAGCCCTTCCGGGAGCCCATGATGAGATCCGAAGCCTCTTAAGCTGCGCTGCAACGAATGTTGAGCTGAACATCCTTCACCATCGCTGGGTCATTGTTGAACATCATTTTACATGTCGATGAGTACTTAAAAATCAAGAAGGAACGAACATGATCATTCTTAAAGAGCGCCCCAACAAAGGTGCAGGTCAAGCCTTAACCAACTCAGCGTCCTGTGCCTCACTCCTTCCAATGGGAGGAGATCAACCTCCTCAAGCCCTGCAAGCCTCGAGCTCACAAGTTAAATCGCTCTTAACCCTTCAGTTCCCAGACCGCAAAAGCCTGAATCCTCAAATCCACGAGCCCTGTGTGTAAGGATTATAGTACCCCCCCCCCCCACCTAATTAGAATCCCTATCGAGGACTTTTAGCATAAGGGGGAGCATTTCAAGGTGGAAGGGTTTTAGGGGCTCCTCAACTGCTGCTCCCTGAACTCGAGCCCTAACCCTAAACTCTCTAATCTAGGGGCCTTCGTAATTAGAATAAGGGTTTTGGGGTTAGTATGGCATAATTTTAGGGACCATCGAAAATTATTTTTCGTGATTATTCCGAACCCTAGATTACACCCTGGGTCTCGTCCGAGGTCTACTACAGAGACACCACCAAGCTCATGGGCAGCTCGGACTGGGGGAGACACTCAAGACCTCAAAAACACACGTCGACGGAAGTCCTCCACGCAACAGCGTCAGCTTGGGATGTTCCCCCTTATACTAACAGAATCGGGATTATAGAAACTGGACTTTTGGTGTTTTGGGTTGAGGGTTTAGGGTTTAGTTTTTGTTTTGTGGGGCGTTCGGTGTGAGTAGGAGAGCCGCCAACTTCTAGGTGTCGAAGAGAACTCCCATGTCTCTAGCTTCCTTCCACGTACCAGAGCCTCAATCTCGGCGCCAAGTGAGATTTTCGGCGTGTTATGCCCCTGGGATTCTCCTTGTGTCCCAAAGGGCACCGTGGTTGAGGGAAGTTTTGCCCCAAACCCTAAACCCTAAACCCGAAACTTTCAACTGTACTAAACCCTAAACCCTAAGGCCAACACCTCGGCCTACTCCAGGTGATCGCCTGGGTCTCAGCGGGGCCGCCTGGCCACCCGACTAGAAATTGGGAGGATTTTCTATCATTCAGGCTATTTAGGGATAGTAAACCCAATTGAGTTTATTTACGGGGAGATTTTACAGGGGGGAAGGGTAGAATGAGGGGGGTAGCAGGGGAACCCATGAAGGGAGGACTTTTTTTTTGAAAAAGCCCGGCTGACTCGATTAAAGGGCTTCGGGCTCAGGATGGTGTGTTACTGTTGCAGGACTGAGCGGGCTGCTGATGAGTGGCTGGGACATAGCATAAACCCACTTCGTGATTTTGACTCTTCCACCGGGGCCGTAGACCCTTAAGGTTCAGAGTTTTCTTTAGGAAGCCCTTCTCGGATCCTGAACACCAAGCTCGGCGTTGTGAGGAATCTCAGCGATGGGCGTGTCGAGATCTTGGCGGAAGGGCCAACAGATGCCTGCCTTCACGGGGCACTTGGAGGTTCATGATACTTATGAACCAGTTGTAACTGTACTTATAACCCACTTATCAGCCCTCTTAAGTGCCCAAATCATTGGGTTAGACGTCCAGTTATACTTGGGGCTAATACCTACTATGCCCCTCCAAGCAGCCCGCCGAGGCCTAGGCTACGACCTGCTGCTTAGTAGCTCTACACCGTCTAAATCCGAAGATTCCTGAGCCCTAGCCAGGGTTTAGGGTTTAGGGTTTAGGGTTTATCTCAATTTGATGGTGGGATCGACTTCAGTTCTTGATTCCTGGGCCGACCAGGTCAGACAGGTTTACCGGTGTGAGATGTGTAGAGCGTCGGTCTGTAAGGTTTTGGGGCTCCGATATCACCCTTGGGATTCTTTTTGATATTTTTGTTTATATAAAACCCAAGAGGATCTTTTTTTGATTAAGGTTCTAAGGGGAGTAAAGATAAAGAAAAAAGATTTATATATATATGTTTACACAAAACCCAAGAGGAGATTATTTTGATTAAGGTTCTAAGGGGAGTATAGGTTCTGGCGTTCAGGATTTTGGATTGAGGTTCCGGGCTTGCCATAGGGCTTTGCGACGACAAAGATTCGACGGCATGAGATGAGCGCGGCGGGTCTTAAGACGAGGACCACGTTGCAACCTGTGCGCGTGTGATTGTGTGACCGTGTGTGGCAGGTGGTGTGAACATCCTTCGAGTTGTGTGCGACGGGTTTCGCCACCTACAGCCTGTAAAGCCTACGGCGGATTAGTGCCAAGAGCAGTATCTCGAAGCTTCGACAAAGCATGGCCCGCTTTGGTGAAGTATGGCTTGGGTGTTGGGTTTTGGGTTTTGTGTTTTGGGGTTTGGGGGTTGGGGTTTGGGGTTTAGGGTTTAGGGTTTAGGTATGCTTGTCAGTGTCACAAGCCATGGCAGCCTCTTTTTTTAGATCTCTTGGCCCTAAGTGGGGTTCTTGAGGTCGTGATGACCCAGTCCACGAGTCATGAGGCCCTCAGCCCTAGAACCCCTGAACCCTTCCCAAACCCTAAACCCTCAACCCTAAGCCCTAAACCGCAGGAGTTCCCCAGCCCTACATTCTTGAAGCCAGATCCCCAAAGCCGGTGGAACCAAGGACAAGCTGAAAGACCTCCTGGAGTGGTGCTGGAAAGGACATATATGGGGGCCCTAGTTGCTGAGTTTAGAGTTTAGGGTTTAGGGTTTAGGGTTTAGGGTTTAGGGTTTAGGTCTGCTAGTTGTGGTGTCCGGCGAAGCGAATGATTGGTAGGCTCATGTTGTTTCACACTACCCAGTTAAGTAGCTACTACCCGTTATTAGTAGGTAGAGCCCATGAAGCTGTAGGTAAAAAGGGCGCCAGGTAGCTCAAAGGCAATGCCTTCAAACCCAGCCCCTAATCACGCTAAACCCGAAACCCAAAACCCTAAACCCTCAATCCCATAAGAAGAGCCGGATGCCTCCCGAGGCCTATACCATTCCCACGGGTTTCACAAAACCCTTATCAAGCCAAAACCCTAAACCCTAAACCCTGAACCCTAACCCTAAACCCTAAAACCCTCCCCAGCCCTGTACCATTACGACACACAAAGCTTCAAGCCCAAAACCCTGGACCGCGCAACCCGACTTCAATCTTCTGAAGCCCAGCAAACAGCGCTGAAGCTTCAAAACTCCCCGAACTCGACCCTGGTCCCAAATTTCTTGAAGCCAGGGTTTTGGTTCAGGGTTTAGGGTTTAGGGTTTAGGGGTTCGGTTTAGGGGGGTTCAGCATCTCAAGTTCGAGCATTTACTAGGCCAGTAGTGTGTTCAGGCAACGGAAAAAAAACCCACCCGCCCAAAGAATCCCATAACATTAAGAAAATATCATGTTTTCATCCTACCCCAAAGAGTTAAGCCTACCCAAGTCAGACACGTTTTCAACTGACCAACACCCGTTGCGGGAGGAAGGGGGCTGGAGGGGCAGGGGGGGAAGGAAGGGGGGTGAAGGAGGGGGGGCGGTGGGGGTGGGGGGGGGTGGGGGGGGTGGGGGGGTGGGGGGGGTGGGGGGGGGGGGGGTGGGGGGGGGTGGGGGGGGTGGGGGGGGTGGGGGGTGGGGGGTGGGGGGGGGGGGGGGGGGTGGGGGGGGGGTGGGGGGGGTGGGGGGGCAAGGACCTGCCCACTAATTTTCGGACCTTGCCCGCTAATTTTCGGACCTTGCCCCGCACTAATTTTCGGACCTTGCCCCACTGATTTTCGGACCTTGCCCGCTAATTTTCGGATCTTGCCCGCTAATTTTCGGACCTTGCCCGCGAATTTTCGGACCTTGCCCGCTAATTCTCGCACCTTTCCCGGGTCCGAAAATTAGCGGGCAAGGTCCGAAAATTAGCGGGTCAGCGGGCAAGGTCCGAAAATTAGTGGGCAAGGTCGTGGGGCAGCCAATGGACCTTGCCCACTGATTTTCGGACCTTGCCCGCTGATTTTCGGACCTTGCCCGCTAATTTTCGGACCTTGCCCGCTAATTTTCGGACCTTGCCCGCTAATTTTCGGACCTTGCCCACTAATTTTCGGACCTTGCCCGCAAAGCCATTAACATTTATATTATATATGAAAGAGTGGTTTAGGGTTTGGGGTTTAGGGTTTAGGGTTTGGGGCTTGGGGTTTGGGGTTTAGGGTTTGGGGCTTAGTGTTTAGGGTTTAGGGTTTATAAGGTTTGGGAGCCCGAATCCGATGCCCTCAGCAGCAGGCCCCGAAGGCGCGGCGGAGGTGGGCATCGAGCGGCTTGGGCCGAACCAAGTGCAGGCGGTTGAGATTGTTTTTGGGGTGTTTTCGGCTGTCTTTTGGGGGTATTTTGGGTTGTTTTTGGGGGTATTTTGGGGTGTTTTGGGGGTGTTTGGGGGTGTCTTTGTGTGTTTTGGGGTGTCTTTGGGGGGTGGTGTTTTGGGGTGTCTTTGGGGGTTGCATGTATTGTTCTAGGGCCTTATTCGGGTAATAACGTTGGAAGTCATATAGCTTGAGGTTGCCGCGTGGCGCGTCTCAAGCTAAGAGTTTAGTGGCTTTCGAGATTCTCTCCGTCAAACTTGGCCTAGGCTCACAGCACTTGAAAGACTCTTATGGGGATGTTCACCCCTATACTAGCAGTTGTTAAGAGGGATTAGAGTAACCCTTATTGTAATCCCTATTAAGGACTGTTAGCATATTGGGGAACATCAAGACACTTGCGACAAATTAACCCTAAACCCCAAACACTAAACCCTAAACCCTAAACCTGACGAAGGCAACCCTTTCGCCCTCCAGGGTGTTTTGGATTTCTGGGCTCCCTTCAGGAGATGTGTCTGTCACCGAGGAACTCACTCACGGCCAAGCGGAAGGCTGCGTGGGATGTCAGGGTTGGGAGCTTGCAAGAAAGAAGCACGCGGGCCTACAGGACCCCTTACTTGGGATGTTCACCCCTTTTACTAGCTCCTTCATCGGGATTGTAGTACCCCCCCCCCCCCCCCTTTCTCATCCCCCCATGAAGGACTGTTAGAAAAAAGGGGGGGAACATCCCCAAACTCTAAACCCTAAACCTAAACCGACAAAACCCCTAAACCCTAAACCCCCCAACCCCTAACTCTAGACCCTGAACCTGGTCTCTTTGTCCTGACTGTAGGAATTTCTATCTCGAAGTCGGCTCGACTGTCTGGCTGTTCGTGGGCTTCTGCCAGCCCAGCCCCTGAAGCCCCACTGAAGCCCCAACTATCAGTAACCCTAAACCCTAAACCCTAAGCCCTAAACCCTTAACCCTTAGCCCTAAACCTTCTTAAGCCTCAAATCAGTACACCCATCCTTGCGAGGTCACCGACGTGGCCGTGACGTGGGAGGATGCGAAAGGTGCCTCGGACTGGCATTTGGGGGGGGGGGGGGGCAAAGCTCAGGGCTTTATAAGGTCTAGAGTTTGGGGTTTGGGTCTGGGGTTTTGGGGTTTAGGGGTTAGGGATTTTTTTTAAGGGGGGGGGGGGGGGGGGGGGGGGGGGCGGTTTGGGCTCCAGGGCTTGTAGCGATGGTCGTGTGGCCGCCGCTGGCCTGCTGAGCAGCAGTGGCCATCGCATCGGCATACGATCATTTCACATTGCTGCAACAAGAAGCCCCGTAATCTGCCCTTCATGGAGATCGCGGAGCAACCACGGGGACCGCCCAGCAGGCGAGAAAAGTACAACCGAGTTTGTTGAAAGTTGGCAGTCGCAGTTCAGAAGTCTTGTGGCAGCACTTGCACGGCAACTCCATTTTTGCGTGGAGCTGGGTTGTGCGCATGTGCCAGCACGAATGGGTCCGTGGGCGTTCTCGCACAAAACCCCGAGAGGTCAAGCAGAATTGTCGGGACCAGCCCCGTGCTGTATGTATGGGGGTTGTTTAGTTTCAGGCGTTCGAGTGCACAGTTCCGATTTGTGGGAGATCAACTAACTATTTAGAATCCATTGGCTTTTCGAGCGTTATGTTTACAGTTCGAACCGTTTGTGTGTGTGCGTGCGACTCCGAGCTGGCACTCTAAGCATCTCGTTTTTCAACCTGGACATGAAGAAAAACAAGCACCTAGAGTCCCAATCCTGGACATGTTCCAACCCCAAAACCCAGACCATAAGGTGGGCTCCCATCCCCCTTCAGCAACGCCGGCAAGAAGTGATCTTGATCTGGCGCAGCTTAGGGGACCTACAGCCGAGCCAGTGTGAGTACTCTCCTTCCCAACTAGAGATTTCAGAATGTTTGCAATAAGGTGATTTAGTGCCACTAGTTTCGGGTTTGTGGTGAGATGCTGTTGAGGCAAAAGGGTTGAAAGGGCCGCATGAGAAGACAAGTCTCTCAGTGTTAGGTGTTGCCGTAAGAAGCTTGATTGAGCCTTGCTTAGCAAGTAGATTTGGGTTTAGGGTTTCGGGCTTAGGGTTTAGGGTTTAGGGTTTAGGGTTTAGGGTTTAGGGTTTAGGGATAGCTGCGGTAGTGCAGGCCAGAGATACAGCAAAAGTCCTGACTCTGTCCGGCGGACAAAACATGGCAGCATCTGGAGACCGCCTGTGGTACTTCCACTCCTTGTAAGGCTTAGGTAGGGTCCCAGAGTTGGGTTCTCGGGTTTAGGGTTTAGGGTTTAGGGTTCGGCGGCTTCGTCAGCTTAAAGCAGGACCTTGCTAGCTCGTAGTCAGGACGCCACCGCAACTGCAGAGATCGTGCCCTGTCCAGATACCTAGTAATGTCTTAAGAAACATGTCCTGATCTCTTTCGACCGCAAAGCCTCATACCCCTGAAGCACTCTACCATCCCAACATGCCTCCGCACTCCCAGCAAATCCACAACCTATGGGCCCTCCCGCCTGTGAGTTTCAGCCCATACTTGGGACGCAGGGTCAAATAATATGAAGTTTCGTGATTTGAGTATGCTCTCTTCTTCATCTGGGGGTTGAGGTTTAGGGCTTAGGGTTTAGGGTTTAGGGTTTAGGATTTACCTAAACCCTAAACCCTACACCCTAAACCGGTTGACCGAGCCCAGCCCACGTCATATTTCTGTGGACAGGCGGCGTATGGCCGGCTGCTCAGAAGACTCTCTGTTGCCAGCACCCAAAGAGCCCAATACCCCTTAATTAATGAATATACCTTAACTTAGCCCATATTAAGGATCCCTATATAAATTAAGGAATATACCATAACCCAGACTAAGGATCCCTATATAAAATAAGCAAGATTCCCTAATCCTCACGGAGTCAGAGCCAGACATGAACTTCCCTAAGAAGCGTTAGCCAAGTGCTTCCTGCATGCCAGCTTCGAGTCTTACAGCTGGGTTTCGTGAAACGACAGGGATTGCCCAGAAGCATCAGCCATATGAAGCCTCCAGCTCAATCTAGAGAGGCCATAGAGCAAGCAACTCAAGCAACGAAACCCTAAACCCTAAACAATAATCCCTAAACCCTAAACTCTCACAAACGCGGCGAAAGCGTAGCTCTGCAATCAGTACCCATGCAGCCAGACACTTCTCTCCCAGCTTTGCGGACACTTTGTTGCAAGACCTGGGCCCAGGCCATTCGCAGCCCTCAACCCAAGATGCTTACTGGGCCAATCGTTGAACTTTAAGCTGTTTGGGTTCCCTTGGTTTAGGGTTTAGGGTTTAGGGTTTAGGGTTTAGGGTTTAGGGTTTAGGGTTTAGGGCTTAGGGTTAGGAATAGCAAAGTTTAACCTGCTCAGAGGCCTGATTAAAGTCGGTGACCGACATGGTGCCACCACCATCCAGAGGCCGAAGGGGCAAGTATCTGCATGGTGCCAGAATCCCCAGAAGCCCTGAAAAACCCCAGCCGAAGGTGTCGCAATCCTGACACCCCCCCTAAAGCCCTAAGCAGAATCCCTGCTGAAGCCCTGAGCCCTCAGCCTAAACCTTAAACCCTATAAACCCTATAAACCCCATAAACCCTATAAACCCTAAACCCTATAAACCCTATAAACCCTATAAACCTTATAAACCCTACAAACCCTACAAACCCTACAAACCCTAAACCCCAAACCCTAAACCCGTTATTGACAATCTGACAGCTTCGGAGGCATGATCGGATGCCTCAAGCCGATTCTGCCATTCCTTCAGCAGAGGCGCTTTTGGGACTCGCGGAGCCGCGTGGGTAAGTCTCCCTGCATCCTTCAGCCCGAAATACTGCGCCGCTGACGCGGTAAAGAAGCGCTCTTGCCCAAAAAACAAAAACATCCTTCAACCGCAGATGATGGTCGTTTAGGGTTTGGGGTTTAGGATTTAGGGTTTAGGGTTTTGGGTTTGATGCCCCAAAGGTGTCAATCGGTCATGAAATCCTGGAACGGAGTTGCGTTGTCCGATTGCGCGTGGAATGCCCAAAGCCCCACGCCCAAACCCTCAACTTCACGACAACTTTATCACTTTATAAGTTTAGGGTTCCTCTAATTTCATAGTAAGGGAGCTAAAAGTTATTGGGGATTAAAGAGCAACCAAGCAATAATCGGTGCAAGAGGAGTATGCCGCGGCAGTTGCCTCACAAGCGGCGACGGTCTGGCACCGCAAGGCTGGGTGAGGGCTTCCACAGCGTTCACATCAAACTCCTTAGGGTTTTTGGGGCCTTTAGGGTTTAGGGTTTAGGGTTTAGGGTTAAGGGTTAAACCCTCAACCCCAAACAGCTCAGGAGTTTTGACCGATAAGTGCCTGGCGAGTTCTTGTTTGGCTCTTTACGACCATCTGATTGAACACTTCCTCTAACAGGCACAGACTGGCAGGCCGTAAGCCTTAAACCTTATACCCGGATGGGCTATTAAGACCCTATATAACCTTCAAAACATGCCCTTTACAGGGGATCATAAGGCCTGATGGCCCAACCTGGTAGGCCGAATCCTGAACCTCATCTTCTACAGCACCGTGTTGATGCAGTAGAGGTTTCTGGCGCTTTTCCGGCATCAAATCGTACATCGTCGATCCCCCCCCCCCCCCCAGAACTTCTGAGAGAGCGAGAGCCCTCCCAAAGCATCCTACACCGGAAGCAGCCTTAAACCCTACATCTTCTGGCTTACACAGTTGCTTCGAGCTCGCACCAACATGCGAGCGTTGGATCTACAGAGGGTCCCATAGTCAATCAGGGGCCTGAAGAATTAGAAGAGGGTATTGGGGGTTACTATAGTATGATTACAAAGGGACCACAAGGGAATATCATGAGTAATTATCTATAGTAGGAATATGAGTAGTAACTATTCAGGCCCCAATATTATCCTGCAAGGGAAACCTGCCCCTAAACCCTAAACCCTAAACCCTAAACCCTACTACCATCCTGGGACCTGAACATGAAGCCGCCTCTCAGTCTGCCCCCTGCGCAGCCCCGCACATGAGTTCGTCAACCACATCCTTGCCAGGGTTTAGGGTTTAGGGTTTAGGCAGACGGTTTAGGGTTTAGGGTTTAGGGTTTAGGGTTTAGGGTTTAGGGTTTAGGGTTTAGGGTTTAGGGTTTAGGGCAACTGCTGTTTAGGGTATTACCCTTTTTGCTACATGCACTTTCTCGAGGGTTGAGGGTGGCGAAGCTTATGGAGCGTGAACCACGCAACCGAACAACGCAAACCCTCGAGAGCCACATCTTCACACTTCAAGGGTTTAGGGTTTAGGGTTTAGGGTTTAGGGTTTAGGGTTTAGGGTTTAGGGTTAAGCCTCAGCCCTAAACCATTGAAATTGTGTTGTTTCGGGGGGGAATTGGAAATCCTACAAAAGACCCCTGGACCCTAAACCCAAGTTGGCAACGAGCTGTGAGGTAAGTGCCGTGGTCCGAGGACAAGACTCCGTCCATGAAGTCGAGATTTTAGGATGTTTCCCTAAACCCTAAACCCTAAACATCCCTAAACCCTAAACCCAAAACGTGCGCCCCATTTAAGCCTCGGGCTCCCAGACTTTCAACATCCTGAAGAGGCGATGGCCATGGCCCTCGAAGCCCTGAAGAAAGCTCAAGTGGTGCAGACCTCAGACGCGGCGGCTTCCCATTTGGTCCCTAAACCCTAAACCCTAAACCCTAAACCCTAAACCCAGAAGGGCGTGCGGGAGAGGGCAAAGGGGGGGGGGGGGGGGGTTAGAACAGTAGGCTGTGGGGCTTGGAGCTTAGGCTGTGCTGCAACGAATGTGAGGCATCTCTTAGCGCATGTTGGCTCATTGAGGGTCTAAGGCTTGGGATTAGGGTTTAGGGTTTAGGGTTTAGGGTTTGGGGTTTAGGGTTTAGGGTTTAGGGTTTAGGGTGTAGGGTTTAGGGCACCCTAGGGATGGCATTTTCTGGCAGCCTTTACGCCTCTGAGGAGAAGCTTCTGGACATCGGAGCCAGCTTTAGCCCGCCCGGAGCTACAGTGGCAGTCCGTGCACCCCATCAAACCCTAAAACCCTAAACCCGA